GGTTGAGAGTACTATCGTGGCTACAGGAAATCACTACACCAGGAGGAATGCTTGAAAGAAATATGGTTGTGTTTTCTCCATTGAAGATGTACTTTGAATCGTGGGTACCTACATACCGAAATGAGTGATCTGATGTCACTTGGGCGAACTTGAGTTTGGTTCATTGAATCTATGATTTGCTGTTATAACGTTTGATACGCTATTACATTAACCTGATAGAATCCGCGAAAATCCTCAGAACCAGCTGTAATGTTTTTTCATAGACCAAGGTCCTCAGAATTCATAAGTCTAGGTTTTGGGTTCTCAACATCGTAAAAGGCACATATATAAGAAGAATTGAGAAGTGGCCTTGGTATAATCATATGTTCAGTGTGACATTTGATTCGGGTTTTGCTGTTGTTGACAAACCATTTTCCTTGCCTAATAAAACAAGCGATATTTTGGAGCAGACTAGAAACAGAATGATATGAAGCTTCTTTGTGAAAAAATGTCTGCTATTCATTACCTTAATTGCATCTTGTCACGTCATTTGCAATTCCAGTTGTTTTTCATGAAACAAATGGGAATTTTCAGAAGTGTAGGACACAAAATAGACTGAACTAGCATTTCAAGATACAAAACAAAAAATATATGTAAACTAGAAGGAACGCACAACTTATAGGATTGCTGAAGAAACTCAGACAGCCCATGACCCGTTTTACCCCTCTTTTGACTCTTCAAGTGGGCGCAGTCTCCGAGTATTCATCAACTTATGTCCTACTAGAACATGAAGCGGCCTTCGTTCAAGATGTTCATTTAATGAATACGATAAGTGAGCGATTCAGCTGACGCTCGACCGAGTCGGGAATTGAGACCAGTCTGGTCTGAACAACAACAATATATATTTTGCGTACTTAAAAATCAGACGATGGAGAAATCAAACACCAAAATATCTAAGTTTGTGAAAAATTACTCCATATACTTCGCTGTCCGTAATTTCAGTCGTAGATGTGACTGTGAGTAGTCAGTGTGTAAGCCCGGGAGAAAATTTTATTCCAGTACTCTTTTGAAATCTATCGCACAGCTCATTCTTCTGCTGTAAATTCGCAGTGGGGGTTTTCGTGCCTTTTTAGGGAAACCATAAATTGGAAGCTGTTCTCTTTCAAAAGCAGTATCCATTGACTCTTGGCGTTTGAACCGCATCCCTTATGCAAAATTTAAGAGCAGAAGACGAGGATTTCTTTCTGTTAGTTGACAGTAATCTTCTGGGTATTCTTTTTTATGCAGTAGATGTAGAATAAGCTGTTGTGGCCTTTTTTGCTCAGGAGCGTCACTCAAATAGTTGCATGAAGTAACATAACACTGCCAAACGATAGTGTAGTTTGTTATCATTCGAACCTTGCACTTTGCGGGACTCACGTGAATAGAATGTACCAAGGCAAACGGACTGTCACATGAGAGGAGTTTTTTCACAAAACCAGGGGGTCTGCGTGCTGCACGTTCGCTTTGAATCAGGGAAGCCAAGGTGTTCAAAATGGATTGTAATCAGTGGAATTAAGTTTTACTCAGCGCATCCGCGTTTAACTTGACATTTTAAAATACATTTTAACCAGTTTAAGAAATATGATCCTGCTAATCTTTGTGTTTGTGTGAGCAATCATATACCCAGCGTTAGCATGTCAAGGTCTGGTCGAAGGCACGTAGATAGACAAAAAATGGATAACAAACATGCTTTATACGAAATACTCTTTCCAAATTGATTTTTTAAAAAGTATGTTGTCTACAGATCCACCGCCAACCAAAATTAGGAAATCAAAAGTGATGTAAGCTTGCTGATGTTATTCTCCGACTTTTTTCCATTTAGTGCGCCATGAAATTCTGAAAAAGACCCAATTTGCACTTTTTGTTCACTGAAGTTTTAATTTTCATTGAATAAAATACAGTATTTTGAATATCAAAAGTAGGTAGCTTAATTCAGCCGTAAGGCGTACGTTTGTCTCATGTTTTTCATTCACACTAACAGTAATGAAACAGCTCGAAACTGGTAGAAGAGAGTAAAAATGTAGGACACCGGAGGAAAAAAAAGTTTGCGTTTCAACCTTGTTTGACTAAATGTTAGTGCTGATACGTCTTCTGTTCGTCAGCAGTGGCCAGGAGTTTGAAATTAAGGACTCCCTCGTGATTTTTTCATAGGTAATCTTCGACTATGGTAGGTTTTGCCCCTCTCGGAGAACTTCCACGGCGCTACTTTTTGTGGATGACTTTGATTTGTTTGGTCAACTGGAAGGTTATATTACAAGATGGTAATCAGATAAAAAGCTCGTGATTAAAAAAAGGGTGCTTTTGTAGGTTTGCCACGGTTTGAGATCTTAATCGGGGGATAGCTCTAATTCAGGAGTTCATAGCCCCTTCGGACAGACTAGAACTAAGCGTTTCCTAAAAGCATCATTCAATAGGGCTCGCAGATTCGTCGTATGCAAGCACTTGCGTTATAGAGTGAGAATTTCTTAGCCGCCCTACCAATTTACCGGATCTGAAACTGGATATTGTTCACACTGCTCACCAATATCAGGAATGCATTTTACTGTCTGTGATGTCGGTTGTTGAATTTGACGTGCCTTGATGTTGGTGACTAACGTAGCACGCTCAGGTAAGAAAAAACAAGATATCTTTAGCCTATGATATTTATTTCTTGGTTGTACTTCTGACCAGAGAGCTCTTTTTGCTTATCACTTCTGCATTGTTCAACCTCCTTCAAGTTCTCGATGCAGCTTACTTCCTACGAGTCATTCTGTTGCGGAATTTGTGAGAATTGTGTGAACTACCCTATGGCTCAACGATCAAACCCATTGGTAACAAAAAACGATCAGGTCATCAGAGCCCTATTGTGACCTAATTATATCTGTGTGCGATGCCGGGTTAAAAAAACAAGCCGTTTTTCAGATCAGTCTGGTCTGCCCTTGATTGAGTTTTAGGCAAAAAGTACGACCACGTTCAGCCCCTCAATGTATTAGAGGTCACGTTTGTCAGGTACAATGATTCAGTGAACAGGATAAACTCGCTGATAATTCAACACACTCTAGTGCATAAAAAGACATAGTAAAATGTCCTCACTAGTACTGTGGGAATTTTGCACTAAAGTTTTCGCTCACATCGGTTCAGCTGCATCAAGTAACGGATAAATTTTTGGCCTTGGAGAAGGACTGCTTTTCTGCTGTATCTGTCTGAGTATTACGGCTGTTTTCATTATGGTTTGATGTGTTTACAAGAACTAATTCTCAACCTGAGTGATGCGCTTGGGCCACTCTGGAAACGCATCAATCGAGGGGCCGTATACCGCTTACAGATCAAATGGATGAGACAGTATAATTTCCAGGAAACGTCTCCTCGAATGATATTCCGGAAGAATACAACCGCACAATGAAGCGTGCAGATGTGGCTGAATATATTTTTTATTTTCTGGCTGATCTAACCCCTTTTGTGGTGTTAGAAGAATGTCTGTGAGAACAAAAATGAGTATTCACGCATTGGCTGTCATCGAGAGACGCTGACCACAGTGAGTGTTGACTACTTCCTAAGAAGTAAAATTCCCATAACGAGCGTAACTTATGAGGAAAAATCGAAGAAAGTTATACTGACTTCATTCCGACTTCATTCGCTGTCACCTTAAAATATATAGAAGCAAGACCTCTTGACCAGTAACAAAATACCAAACAGCCAAATAATTATTTTGATGTAGTTCACGTGCAAGCAACTGACGATCCTAAAGGTCACCAGACCTACTTCAGTGCTATACTTGAACACGGCCTCTCACGGAGGCCTTGCTCATCCACTGTAACTTGTTTACACAGCAACTCAACTGAGATTGCTGCGATAAGCAGAACATTTCAGAAACCATGGCGGCACTGATTTGCGATGGCCATCTTTTATAAAACATTAGACTATCCTAGACGTAGGTAACATGACCGATGGTAAAAAATATCATATTTAAAAACCATGTCCCTTCAGTTAGCATGTATATGACGTTTAAAGCCCAGCAATAACCCAATCAAGTATGGAAAAGCAGAGGTTGTTTTTCGGTTATTGCTCTCCTTAACCAATAACTTTAAATCGCGTAGAGGATATTGGAAAAATGACTACCCCTCTTGTTGATCAAACCGTATTACACATTTTACTTTAGTTTGTTTACTACGAATGAATATGACTGAAAGTCGTACCAAGATTTGAAAGTAATGAAAAGAGTTAAAAACCATCTATGTAACTTATCCTAAAGTCACTCTTTATGGCTGTACTTTTTGCTTGAAAAATATTTATAGACACATGGCATTCGCTTAGAGTTTTGCCTGGAGGTCATGAAATTGATCTAGAAATACTATTTTGAACTTCGCCTTTCTTCGTTTCTGTGCCCAAGTTGAATCCTCCTGGCGTAATATTATGTGCCACAAGACCTGAGGAATTGAGGACCATCTGATGCAACTCCCTTGCTGCGCAAATTCTAAAGTATCATCATTCTGGGAGCAAGTCATTACGTGACCCTTTGCTGTGGTTTTCCTTATTGATGGATGATCGGTGCCATATCATGTCTAATTGTGAGCCAATCACAACGCTGATCGGTCATTCGGGTCCAAACGTTCCAATGTTCAAACTACTAGCTGGAAGATTGCGGTTTCAAAACTTGATACATTATTGTAAGATGTTCATCGTTAAAGGTTCCCAATATGAAAGGAACAGTTATACAGTACTTATACACTTGTCAGCCTAGATTAGCTTCACTTATCAGACCGAATTCCGATTAAAAATTTTAATTTTATTTAGAATTGATGCTAGTTTTTATGCCAACTGGAGGCCTGATGTCGATGAGGTGTCCCGCTTCGACAACCTACCATACATCAAAGTTGAACTTTGGTGCTAATGGAACATTCAGTGTAGCTGATTAGACTTTATTACATCATTGAATGTGTTTATTAAAATGGTATTTCTTTTACAGCTTACCGTTCCTTACATTTAATATTCCTTTTCAGAGAATGGAGTAGATCCGGATCTGTCTTTTTTGGAGCATATACGGGAAATTACTGGCTACTTGATCATTATGTACTCAAACGTCGAAACGATTCCACTGACCAACTTGCGTGTAATACGTGCTGAGGACGGTGGATACAAGATTGGCGCAGATTTACAGCCAGCTGCTCTAGTTATACGACACAATCATAGAAACAATGTGGCACTCAGAAATATTGATTTGCGGAATCTCAAGTGTAAGTTTACGGTTGAGCGGATTGACGAACTTTGGACAAGCATACCCGAGTTTAAAACAGACTCAGTTTTATGCGTTCGGTTTCGGTTTACTACTCTTTTTCCTTGACCGTTCGTTCCAAACACGATCCCGTGGTGATGAAGCCATTCTTTCTGAGTCTGCTTTTCACATCGCAAGAAAAACTCACTTGGCATCAGTTAGATGGAGTGAATCAAAACAAATATGCTTAGGATATTTTGTTAGAAGCACATTTTTGTTCGAAAAGGCCAAATTTACTGAGTTAACATTACCAGCAGCGTCTATCGTGGTTTCCCTTTGACATTCGGATATTTGGTCCGAGGTTTTTTTGGCGACTTTGGTGCGATTGCGACTGCCATTCTTTCCTTATTTTTTGTGCACGTAGGTTTATCAGGCTTACTTGGTTGAACTGTTATCTGATATTCTTGACAGTACAGACGATCTAAACACAACAAAGGGTTAGAATATAAGCTTTACTTTCGCATGGCTCAGGTACGGTGCTTTCTTTTATGTCTTCAGATCGACTCGTGGCAACGTCCTGGCATCTTCGTTGGGCTGTCTGCTTTGTAAACAATGGATATTTAAAGTGTACTTGAGAGGTTGGCTGAATTCTTTGACTTGCGTAACAGAACATGTCAACCTACGATTTTACCCAAAATAAGGGGATCGACTACCGGGTGCAATGAGCACACTTAGCAATGTATCACAGCAAACCAGCAGCAAACTAGTACAACGACTGTCTAAAAGACCCACACGAACTGCCTACTGAAGTTGTTTTTTGTGCGATTTAGTGTATTTTAAGCGGATCACCACTTAAAACACCTTACAGAACGCTTCCGAAGACGGCTGTTTTTAGGGTATGGCCTCTGGGATGGAGAAAGTAGGAGAATATTGTGACATCTTTGGAGAATACACGCAAACTTTGGAATAGAATTACACTTTATTATGAAATCAAAAAGCGTCTTTTGGGTGGAGACTTCGTACGACGGGGTTTACTTTCACACACACTACTTACTTACTACTTTCTTTCTTTACTTACTTACTTACTTACTTACTTACTTACTTACTTTACTTATAGAAGAAAATATGCAGCTATTCCTCAATAGAGCGGCCACTTTGAAGCAGTCTACAACAAAGAATACATTTTGAATGGTGCCATACTGGTACGATTACTCCTTCTTGCAATGTACGCTCTGTTGCGGGACAGTTGCACAACCCAGAAATATTAATTAGCATCTCAGCTGGTAAGAATACAAATGGCGTAGAGACATGGAGTTCTTTTGCATAATCTACAATTCGTAATTTGGGTATGTTTTTCCTCTTATGCCTGACCCACTGAATCACTATTGAAACAGTCATCGGTAAGAAATGCTTAGCATCTCTTGCACCTGATGGCTTACTTCAAGACCGTCCTGCTCCTCGGAAAACAATATTGCTGACGGTTGAATCATTTCAGTGTCAAGACGCTGTTATGCTGTTTTATACAGCTATTGATTTATAGTTATCTGACGGGTGGCAGGATGGTGATAAAAGACTCAGCAGAATGAATGACTCCGACGATGCGGGTTGCCAGATTGCTTCCTAGATTCTGTCGAAATTATTGAGGCTAGTGAACAACGTGGTCAAGATTCATCACATCAAATCCGATGCAAAGCAAACATGCGGATCTTCCAGTCACCAAAGGTAGTTAGTAGTCTCTGGAAAAAACAGTAGGTCCAAAAATAATATAATACGTCTAAACCACAGCTATAACTGTTGAATTATCTGCTGGTTTATGCTGTATCAGAGAGATCGATTTCTCTCCAACTTCGAGTAATTGGCACCCATATTCAGCTCAGTTCCCTCAAAGCATGTACACACACGCCATCATAGATGCACGTGACTTATGTATCTGAATCTAAGACTCAGCCTGTCATTTATGGCATTGAGAGCCCATTTGGCGAATACAACATGAGCTGGCATGTGTCTGTGTTCGTCTTGAGTTATACACCCACTCGTGTGTGTAGATTTTTTCCGCACACATTTCTCGACCGTTGTGTACAAGCGAGCCTATTGCTGAATGATGTTCATACCTGAACAATGTATGAACCAGAGTTGTCCTCCAATCCGATGTCAGGGAGGCCTGAAAGTGGAGGGCCGGGTACACTTACTCGCGGATTGCTCGAAAGAATATTGAGTTAGACAATACAAAATGACATTTTGTAAATTGCAGAGTGTAACACTGGGTTCAGTTGCGGTATTCATCTACTATGGCAATACCTGGAAAGGCCCCAGAGTGGCCGTCATCTTGTAGTCATCATCACAATTAGGAAATATTGCCCTAAGAAATAAAACATCACCTAATTTTGTTTGTTTGTATGGGTTTGGATAGTTTTAGAACTTCTGTTTATTAAAATCGATATTCTTCGTGAATTTACAATTTGATCATCCTATTCCCTTCTAAGGAGAAGTGTTGTCCCGCGATGCTGTGAAAGTGTTCCGTAAAAGTTCCGTCCACTTAGTGCAAGTCGTCAAGGCGTGCTCGCCAGTTTCTACCCGGGGCCTCAATTAAGTGGGTTGATTCACCTACCTAACTGAACCAGACTCCTGGATTGATTAGTTATAATACAACAGTTCCATCCAGATAATATATATGTATACATACATATATATATGCATATATATATCCCACAGGTAAGGGTTCCGGATGTGACTGGTGATCGCTGCAACCTATTAGATTGAATTCGTGCGCGATATGGGATGTATCAATATAGTCACTCCAGGTGTAATAACATGCATGGAGCCACCGACAAGGCATCTACAGCCTCTGCTCTTGTTTTGGTACTGCACCTCGCAAGTCAGATGATGCTACACTTAGGGCGAGTCATGTTTGATATCATTCATTTGGTGCTGTGGTTAGTCGCTGTAATATGACAATTAAATTTGGGTGCGAGTGCCAGGCAAATATTTTCTGCTCGTGCCAAACACAAAAATAGGTATGTGGTTGATTACTGAAGCTGAATACCAGGCCAGATGCTATCACAAGCTGCGGGGTTTGCGTTTCCTCATGTGCTATTAGCTAATAAAATTGAGCAGTCAGTCGAGTCTAGAGTTAGCAGCAGATTCATTAGCAAGAGAACTTTGTCTCTACAGTAGAACTTCTATTATGAAGGGAAGTTGCGTTTGTTCAAGGAGAGTTAGTAATGTTTTATATACACCAATTTCTAAGCCCTAAGGCAGTTCAGTGGAACCACAACGACGGGTAAAAAAGAAACGTGCTTTTTCGTTAAACAAATAAAGGTTGGAGTAATGTGGCTACGTTTTGATACATATTCTCTTTTGGTGCAAAATTCTTGCACTTTTGTGACAATTGAACTTTGTAGGGCTTTCCTAGTTTTCTGATCCCGTGATTCGCCATATACGTGTACTTATGCACCTCTAGCACAAGTGACTAGAGCTCGTCAGGCCATCAGAAATCTCCTAACAGCAAGTTTATCTATAAGTAATTCAAGGTTTGGTCGTTGGCTTGTTCGCTGAGCTGGGCAATTTGGTTGCAAACGTTTCATCACCAATCGAGGTGACATCTTCAGTGCGTAGTTGTGCGCAGCGATGGGTTAGTGGTTGTGCAGGGAATGAATGTAATTCAGTCTGAAACTATGAAGGCTTTTCAATCACATTTCAGTCCAGTCATCTGAGGTATGCCCAGCTCAAAATGTCATTTAGCACGAAACTTGTTTTTCAGTCGTTAACTCCTTTGTTGTTGATGTTTTTGTTTCCGCAGACCTTCTATGGCGTAGCAAACCTTTGCCAAAATGCACGTATAGTCATATTTCTTCAGCCTAGTAAGCGCCCAGACACGCGTTAGTACACACAATCGCACATGAGAACAACAATGGCAGTTCAATAGCCAGATGCCTTGTTACCGATGCATATTACGAACAAGGAAGGCACACTTTGGACCTGTTGGCTAAAACTGTGCCGGCTGCATACCAGTCGGTGGTGTTGGTGTGCACGATTTGCTCCGTTTGAGGCTGTATCGATTTTCAGTGTTAACAGGTGGTCAAAGGTAGGCTGAATTTTCTAGTGTATCAAAGCGTTTAGTCTCCAAGATGTTTCGTACCGTGAATAGATACTACGCTTTGAACAAATTAAACGCACTCATACCAATTTAGTTGCTTTATGCAATAGCGTTATATCTGAGCAGAGACAATAGTCGGACTGTTTTGTCAATCGTTTCCGACAGGAAGATTAGCTTGTAGAAGAGTGCCTTGAAGTTGTTGAAGTATAGCTGGCCCGATGATGAAATCGATATTGAAAAAGCAGGAAAACAAGGGAGGTAAATGGTTCAAAATTACCCGTTCACAATGCTGTTGAGATACTCTTTACAGCAAGCATTCGTTTATGGAACGGACAGCAGAAGCCACAATAAGATTTCCGATCAGCCGGAGCGTTCTGAAAGTTTCTGGTCAAAAACAAAATTAGATAATCATAATGTGACTAAAAGTTATCTGCTGAACGTACACGAAACACATTTCAGATAAATCTCTTTTGCCTATTTGCATGAGTTGTGCTTACAATTTAACCTATCATATTACAGGCTGCGTTGTATGGAAAGTTCACATTTTCAGTGATATCCACTTCCGAAAGCTTGAAGATATTTTGAGTAAAAGTCGACTTTAAAGCGGAATAGGTTCTAAACAACGATTTGAACACGTCCACAGGAATTACATAACGTTTTCAGCACACACACTATTCGATTGCATGGACCGGGATGCCCTTCTCACCAAGTTTTTCTTATATTTAGGGAAGCCCATAGAGTTTTTCAACGCGGAGTAGTGAAAGAATATATCTGTGAAACTAAGATAAATTAAAGCCCATTCTGCGAGCAATAAAATGCAGTTTTCGAAACTTTACAACTCTATATGTGCAACGAGATGAACGATGAGTTTGGCCTGGTGAAAATAACCTTCCGATGTTTTGGCTTTTTTCCCTTTACTGAGCTAGGTAACCTGACTGTAAGCGATTTGTCAACAGTCGAACTAGTTTTTACCTCGTTAATTTAAGGGTGCGTCGGTGTGTAGGTAATGCGGGATGCCAGGAACACATCGGCATTAAAACAATGCACTTCTAGGAAGCACTAGTCACTGTGCCTCATTTCCATCCTCCATCAACAAGGACAGACCTAAATAAAATTTCAATGAAAATGTGGAGACAACGGACACGCAAGGGAGTTCATAAAGGTATGCTGCATGCTCTGTAAGTTGATGTAGAGAGGTCGAAACCATCCACGCATTAATACGACCAAAGAATCTTCAAGTTAACCAGACAACTCAAAGGCAACGGACAATCAGATGAACCGATAAGGTGGCAGCCGGGGCAAACACGGGTACGATAGACCACAGGTCATCAGATGAGACTCAAACGGGTTGAGATCTATGAGTAAGGTGTCAACAAATTGGACAGTGACCTAACCAACGGGAGTGATCATCCAGACGAATATTTATTGTGAATAGCCCCCGATCAGAATAACAAATAGAAACATTACCGTTTCTCAGCACCGACGCAGCGCTAAACGTCAAAGATGAGTCTGAATCTCATTCCTGAAATATTTGAGGAACTTCTGACTTCCGTGGTCTCATTGAATTGTATCCTAGAAAAAACTATACTTAGATCCATCGGAAAGATGTGACGTTGGAGGAAGTGGGACCATGTGTAATCGAAACATGTAAATTTTTTCACACCCAGTCTCATAGTCTAACTCTGAACTAAGGTTTTTTGACATGGATAATCCCAAGTAATGCTGTGTCAGGGAAGCATCATTGGACTAGGGTCCATAAAATGGGATAACTGCGTCAACTGAACACTTTGCCATTCACGTTTTTCTGCGAGAAAACTCTTTTGTCTAAAGCTGAAAATGTTGAGCGACATTCGCCTCTCTTTATCAGATGGAAAGTAATAAACCGAAGGCGCAACAATGAAACTGAACAGTTTACCGGCCCGCATCCTTAAGGGAACCAGGACAAATGGTCATAACCCAGTCGTAAACACATTGTTTGCAAGTGCAAAATAGAAGCCGTAGCATGGTGTAGATAGTCACGAATGGACCAAAAAATTTTACACATAACGTTTCATCAGTAGGCTTTTCGGTAAAAATTCCTGAAGTTCAGGATTTCTCCCTCATTATTGTATGTCATTTTGTCGATCATCCCAATCGCATGAAACTGGACACTGTAAGAAAAATTCCGGCAAGCATTCGTAGCATCACTCTGTGCTTGAAGCCAGCTGCCCCTCCATTGTTATCACAAACCTTTTACTTCCAAGTCATTTAACTGGAGAAAAAAACTTGTAGAGTAGACAGTAATGAAGCAATAAACACCCATGCTGCAGGTAACTACAAAGTCAGAGTGAGGCCTTACTTCAAAAACACAAGTCATTGTTTTACCTATATAGATACTGAAATAGTGTCTTAGGCTTACATGCACCACCATTCTCAGATTGACCCTCAATCACATCTGCAGTTTAACACGGCAAGTTGACCATTATAGGCGTAATCGTTTTCGTAAAAGTTTTCGACGGAGTCTTGCATGCTTTTATTCCGGCACAACTGTTTTCAAAGACATCAGTCCTTCAAACACCTTTTGAGAAGAATGAACAAGGTCGCTATTTATGATTATGGAATTCTGGCTTAATTACATCTATCCCAGATACCTTGGCTTCGATTTCCAGGACGGTTGTATTTGATCTTGGTTTTATCCCACCTAGCATGTCGTGGCTGAATTATCTCTTGCGTATAATGTGCTAGTTGGATGTGCTGATTGTACGCTTTAGTTATGCAGATTATAACTATCTGTATTTTCACCGACCCTACAGCCATTGTCCAAGGAAGCGTGTACGTTTACGACAATCCCGGATTGTGTTATTTGTCCAGACGTGTTAACTGGACAGAACTTTTTGAAACTCCAGGGGAGCAATTTGTACTCGGGAAGGAGGCAGTCGAGGCGGCAAATGAGTTTACCACAACAGCGACTCCCGGGCACGAGAAGTGGCATGGAAATGATGACTACTGTGATGCGGCTGGTAGGTTATTTGCCTCTACGGCTGTGTACATAAGGTTTGACTTGTCGGTGAACATAGGATATATATATATATAGTATCTAGATTTTGCCGAAAAAATGCTGAAGGCAGTGAACCGTCTTCCACCGTATTGTTACAATCAGATGGGATGAGCGATTCTTGTGGTGAAGAATACTTTCGTCCATAGTTCGACTACATTGTACTCAACGACGATGTTCCCCTTTTCTGGGCCGAGTGAGCTGTGGATTAGACAAAATTACTTCACGGTAAAACGACATACCGCGTATCGTATGGTGCGTTACCAGTGTTTGGCAGCGGGTACTCCAACCAAAATGAATTTTTGCTGACCAGCCCAATAAGTGAAGAGATTGATACACTGGTTCTCACCAAGGAATTTGAAACGAGCGGAGGTTCCATTTGAGGTAGGCTAAATTCGGTTCATATAAGCTGCTTACAGCTCACCCGGTCAACCGATGTCCTCACACCGAGTGTATGACGAATTGTTTAAGCACGCCAAATTAAGTCAGACTGGGATAAAGGTCTGAGAACGAATATTACGCATTTCCATGGGGTCGCAGTGTGGAGCGGTTATGAAACCGGAACGTAGGATGCAGGAAGGGTGCAGGAAGCCAAGAAGAAAGAGCGCGTGAAAGAAGAAAGAAAGGGGAAAATTTTAAGCTTCACCGCCAGGATAGGGTCTCACCATATCTTAGGTACACTTGTCCAGTTTCAACCATCTTGTGGTCTTTTTTTCTTATTAACGACTTAATCAGGTAACTCAAACACACCTACTCCTCGTCAGTAAGTTCATGGATCAACAAATTGGAAACTTTGGCATAAACTTGGCACCATAACACTCATACACAGAGGAACTCCTTTCAATCAGTTACGAACGAACCCTCGCAAAAGTTTTTGTGCATGTTGCTAGAACAATTTCTCGGCACTTTTGAGGAAGCACCAGGTTTCTTTTGGAACGCTCAAATGGAGGTTTCCGGAGAAACTATTCGCCCGTCCACGATTTGGATTTTAGAATCATGGCAATAGTAAGTAGACATTCATGTGCTGTCCAAGAGCGCACGTGCCGTCCTTTTGGAATTTCATGCAACCGACCTTTTCGCATTCCCAAGAAGGCAAGTGTGGTATCCGTCTGTTGGTTACGCCAGAAGTGAACCTGCCAGACTACGTGGTGAGAAGAGAGAGAACCCGGGACATGTCTTTGTTGTCAAGACAAACATAAAGAGTTTTTGAATATTCGGCTGAATGGTCGAATACGGCCATTCACAAGTTCGTTCTGTCCACCCCATGGAGACTTTTTTGTCGTGAGCACCTTCACACCCCCCCCCCCGATGGTCGCATGCCACTAAGCCGTGTTTGGTGAGCCCTACCAACGCACCTGCTATCCTGAACATGTGGTAGCGATGGTGACCTTGGTGACACGTAGTCTCGGCACATGCACATTTCGTGCTTGGACGCATCGTGGCAGCAAGAATACCGGGTTTGGTGGTGGGATACGGTCTGTTTATTTGCCACCTCAAGCTGCATACCAAAATACTGCTGTGTGTTCTGGAACATGTACATTCATGGGACGGAGAATCAACGTTCTGTGAGCACAAATGCTTACGGAAATTGCTGTTTTGAGCCACTGAAATAGAGGACGGAACACTTAGGCTCCCACTTTATGTGTATACTGGAGTGCTTTTCAAAGTCATAACCGACAGAAGAAATCCAGTGTTTTTAGCCTGAGGGACATGGTGGCCATTGGAAAACTGAAGCCAAATTTGTGCATCTGAAAAGAATGGTTCTAATGGTATAACTATTTAACTGGATCTGGTAGACTCAATATTGTCCTTTCCCTTTACTCCGTTAGTTGTTCTACACGTTTTCCTTCATAATATTGTTCGCTATTCGACATGCTTCCGTTAGGGTGAGCTGTCCGTGGTTTTCGTTCGTTTTACGATCTCACGGACAATTGCGACTCCCGTTATTACACCTTCCACATGCGCACCCCCATTTTGTTGGAAGGCTTTCGCGTCATTTGGTAGCATTAGTAGCAGATAGCGAAATGAGTTGTCTGGACATCAAGGGAGTTCACATGATTTTGCCAGATGATCCTTCGCTCCTCACGCTATCTCCAAATAAGAGGGCGTGATTTCACTTAGAATGGCTTACAGTGGCTTCATTACTAGACAAACTGGTGGGTTCGATTATTCTAGGCCCGTATTTTACCAAATGTGTTTACTAACTCCCCTATTTGATCATGAAGAAACCGGTTACCCTAATAAGAACACGTAAATTATGGTTATCCGGAAGATTTTGGAACAATAGGTTGTGATTATTTAGTCATGCTGTTGGACCGAATACTTTACATAGTCACATTTATTTTAAACAAAATCTTGGTATCAAGAAAGGAATTTTAAGTAATGACATCCTTATGTTGTGATTTTTTTCAGCGGTTACTTTCCACTAAAAGGAATTCCTTAGACTGTGTATTGCCCCAGTTTCCTGTCCTAAGCAGAGCATAAGGTCGTCCTTTGGGACTCAAACTAAAACAGTGAGTCTTGTGTAAAGAACGTAATCAACGGCCATCCAAAAAAACAACAAATGTGTGCATATCAAGTGATAAAGCACACCATATCCGGAGAAATCACACAGGGATATGAGCGCTGTCTTGGATAAATTATCCTAACAACTCCAAGTAGCTACTGAATTTTCTGATGTTGTTCCCTCCGAAAAACACCTTCTCTGGACAGACTTCTGTGAGTGACCTTTGGTCCCTTGAAGCTTTCTGCAATGTCAGCGAACATCTCTGAATTACCCGTCTGCCAAAATAGGTTTGATTTAATCGGTTCGTTTACATGGACTATATAGAAGAAAACAGTGGTATTAATCCATATGCCCGTTACAATGAATGCCCATTCATCGGTGTTTTGACTTACATGTAGAGCACAAGGACCAAATTCTTGAAATCTATAATTCCAGTCTGCGTGAGAGTGCCTCATCCCGCCGTGCAGTTCGGCCTCAGTCTGTAAAACTTTTATTTCTCATGTGTTTTAGTTTGTTCTTACACCTGTCGAAACTTTACTGGCGGTTCACAGCACTGTTGGGGACCAGATCCAGAGGAATGTCAACAAGGTAAGTTGGAAAATACCACAATTATAAGCAGTAAAAACGTAAAGCGGAGCATCCTCGGGTAAAGAGGTCAGGATCTGGCCTGTTTTGTGGATTTACCCCACGGGCAGTGAAGTTGCCGTAAAAATACACTTTTTATGCTACAGAAAACAGCCAATAATGTCGTATTGCCCCAGACGATAATAAGGAGAATCCTACTAAAGTACACTCATGTAAATACCAATTTAGTTTTAATGAGTGTTCCATTGGAACTCAGCTGAANGCTGAATCACCGGTTTGTGATGTGCGAAACCGCTCTTGAGCTATGGAATATTTTCAGACACCTTATAAGCAACGTAGTACGTCTATACAATGTATTGCGATAAAGGCGTATCGTACCATTATCTGTACTCACATTATGACATACTTGCACAATTTGGAGTCCCGGGATGAAACAAATTATAAATTCCGAATCCTCTTTGCCAACCAACAAAATACAGTTGTTGTTTCTCTATTTTAAAAGGCATCTCCAGTCGCGTTTGATTAACTCAGTGCAATGTTTTTCCGTATTTTGGCGAGCTGAAGAGAAGTAATTGGTGTTAAATCTGAATGTAGTCATCAATTCTTAACCGAATTTCAGTGACAGCTATCATAGCTATACCCGATCGAAAAAAGGTATCGGCTTCAATGAAAACCTGAATTTCGGATGAAAGGTAAGGCGGATGAAAACTGAATTCTTAGGGAAGCGGCATTCACATAACGCTTTTCAGCCTTATCGGGAAACATAGGTGGGTGTTAGGAAAGTCTCATTCTGACTTCTACTCTCTGTAAATGGCGATCCCATGTGGCGCACCTTCCAGAGGAACTATTCGCGGATTTGAAGCAGCTGCGTTAAATTAACAAGACTTTCATCTCTAGACGGTCTCAGTCAACTTGAAAAGATAGCACGATTCAAACAAAACGATTTTAAGCACTACGGAATGTGTTATTAGACTGCATGCTTTGCATAATTCTGGCACAACGTGCCCACACATTCGACTGCAAATGAGGTCACGTGCTCCAGGAGGTTGCGTCAGTCACATGACTCTGTGCATGTAGTAGAGAGTAAAGAGCAACCGTTGCAAGTGGACCTTTATTTGACTACCATTTGCCTTAAGATGGATCAAGGTAAAAAAAGTCCTCCTCAAAATCAAATCAGCATACTGTACTCTTGGTCGCAATTGTGACCGTTTGGGTGGAAACAATGAAAAACTTCCTCTGATGCAAATGGTGACACAAGTGGTGGTGGTGCTTCAGTCAACAGATCTGAAAATCTATCAGAAACAAGCAGCGAATGATAAAATTTGTGTTTAACTGATCCACACAACACTTGGTATTGTGAGATTAAGTGTCTTTTCCTGTTGATTACTCATGAGCATGCCTGGCACTACACCACAGTGTACCAAAGTCTGACGTAGCAGATACTGTTGACGCCAACGTTTTCCGACTGCTGAGTGAGCAAAATTATCGACCGGAATGGCATTAGTCCACGAGGTCAATGTGAATATGTATGAGTTTGGGAAGTGTGTTTGTGCATTAATGGCTAAAAATAGGATGGTCTGTATGAATATCGATAACTTTAGTCCTGAAAATTGATTACAGAAGAACCTCCCCACCTGCCCCCCTTTATGCCAAACAACTGCATATTTGCTCTCATAGATCAATATTCCCTCGAAAGGTGCTCCGTAATTCGACAGATACTTTCATTCGCACACGAATTTGGATATGGCTGGATTCTTTAACAGAATAGTTAAATATCTCGTTTATGATGATTTGCTTCAACTAAATGTACTGCACCAGGGTGCCTCACATTTCAGCTTGTACGACATCCGACAAATTTTCCAGAATAAGATTTCTCACAAAGCTGCTGAAAACTCTTCCACAACCCACAACCAGTCTCGCCATTCTTGGGACGCCCAGACGGTGCGTTACCCCAGATTTCTCTGTGAGTGTAGTCTGGGCGTGTTGTACGACATATTGTTTCACAGTGTCGACCACTCGTCCCGACTAGATCAGTCATCTGCGTCCCCATACGGATCTAAAAGCATACATTAATTCCTATCATAGTTTTCTGTATATTTGACTAATATAGCTGCTCTCTTGCAACCTAGTTAGTTTATCACAGTCAGATGGACACACCAATTAGTTGTCACAGTGTCCAGTATTACGGGACCGTACAGTACTGCCTGCCCCAGAGCCTTGTTGGAAAAACAGTGCACTAATTTCAGGATGAATCAGCATTCTTGTCACCGTCTTTTGACTTTATTGCATCTTCCAGTGGGAGCACTTGTCCGTTCCCCATAGCCGATTGCTTTGCTATCCCATGACTGTACTCATAATCATTAGGTTTTGCATTGCCATTCCTACATGACAAGAAAATGTCTTCTGAAGTGGGAGCCGCATACTTAGCAATTATGCCAAGAATTGCATAACTAGAACGTGCCTTTTGTCAACGAAATGCGAAGAGCTCAAGAACAACACAAGCGTTAGGTGACTTTCGACAAGAAAATCACATTTAGACTACCTACCCTGTGTACCGCATCTCAGCTTCTTCCAGGAGAGTGAAGCCCTTATGCAAACCTCAAGCCAGTCGTTCCGGTTTCCAGCGAGAACTTTGTCGTACAATATATCTCGCAGACGAGCACGTGGGAAGTAGAAAAGTCTCACAAGGAAGTTAGAGCAAAATGATGGCTAGTTTCACTTGCAGCCTTATGAGTACTGTGCTGTGAAGCGGTACCTTTAAAATCGCACCAACTGAACAATGAGTTTGAAGAATATCATGGATAAGGGATTCACCTGGAATTCAGTTCAGTTTCCCATTAAATTTAAATTAGTGTGCAGGTGGGCGTGTTTCGCTAACTGTGCAGACTTCTGACTCAAGCATCTCACAATGTTGACGGGGTGCGCACACCTGCTGAGCCGTTTGTGGTTGTCGAACAGTTTTCAGCAAACTTTTGAGTTGAGTCAGGAGTACAACCAGGTTCGCATTACATGACGAAACTAGAACGGCTTTGGTGCTAATGAGATGTCCGTCGTTATTTCCATGGACTGCTGTGAAAATCAACGGTGGTGCTAAATTTGAGGATAAACTTCATCATCAACACCCCGGTATCCATTCGTCAGTGGAAGGAATTTACTAGGATTTAGTAAAGCTGCGTTTTCGAATAAAACGGCAGTTACTCACAAGCTGGGATTACTTCTACCTAGGATTGTAATTATGTCCATCCATTGACTCAAATCAGATTTTGAGGTTTTGCGTGCGCTGAATACTAGTTCATGGTTTCAAGGATAAACCACAGACCTGATATAATTTTCAATAGCTTCATTCCCTCTATTACAGGCTCCATACTTCAAAATTGGCACCAAGATAAAACGCTTTTAATGACCGTAGATACCTCACCGTTCTTTTCTCATGTACAGCGGCTGCAAAGAGGCTTTGGGCTGCGGATTAGTTGAGATAGAGCTCTGGGATGATTACGGTCACAAAAAATTAAATGTGGTAAAAAAAATAGCCTTTTATGAAAACTTCTGTGCTGGCATAAGTGTGGACAAGTCCCTGTCGCATTGGACTTCTGTAGTTGTCCGCTCAAAGCACACTTTCAGCCATTCCGATCTGAACGTGTCAGATGCAGAGGGTCAGAACAAAATCAAGGATTAAATCGAACGCACCATAATGAGTTTTAATTGGAACCCTCAGTTGCGTACCAACGTGGGTTTTACGGGAGACTCACTCGAATTTCCCGAATCTCGCGTCTATGATGTATCACGTCCATAGATTTACTAATGTTCTCTCTGAGGAACACAACGCATGGGAAAGGCCCTGTGTTGTCAGTCACCATAAATTAGTTGTTCAGTAGGAAATCCTGATGATACTGTGAGAACGTAACTCTTAGTAGCGTTCACTAGCTGAAAAACCATACCAAAAAGGTTTTCAGAAGGGTGAACAATTACAACAGCAAACTGTGAAAATCCATGGTCTGAAGCAACATTCATTTTTCGTAATTCTCAGCCGAACCCGATAGGATTTCCGAACCGACGATATCAGACAATCTGTACATTTGACGTAATGCTTTTCACTCACAACAGGCCAATGAATTCATTAACCTACGTGTAGTTTCGAATGTAAACTCCTTCCTTCAGTAATTTGTAGTGAGCGGAATGTTCCTACTGATGTTTGCTTACCTAATAACGCCGTTTCTATAGCATTATTTTCCACCGAATATAACACCGTGAGATCCACATGGTGTTCTCAAGGAGCTATTCTGCTAATTCGCACAGCAGATGAAGCGTGTCTTTGTCTTGAACATCTTCAACAGTTCCGAGGCTGATTCCACACGACCAGGAGAATAGGGCTCTCATCAGATACAATAGTGTCATTTTCCGCATGTGTTTTCACACTTGTAGCCCAGGGATGAGTCCAAAGTTGTTCTGACCGCGCACTACTCTGCGCAAAGTGTACAAAAGTTCAACAAAACGTACATAGTTAGGTCACACCACTGAAAGTGGACCAACACGCTTAGTTGCTTTCCAGCTTTCTCGAGCAGACCTAATCGGAACAAATAAAAAGCAAATATCTTCGGTAGAGATTTCAAACGACGATGGATTATCGTCTAAAATTAACACACTACTCACAAAGTTGCTGAAGAATCTTCCCAACCAACGAACGGTTTCGCTCTTTGTGGTGTCATCGTAAACGAGAGAGCCAGCTGAATCAGTTGAGTCTCCTGTCAAAGCCCAATTTATGTGCAAATCAGAGTATTTGTCGGAATGGTAGATTATTCATTTTGCAGCGCTGGTACTAGCAGAGACTGACACGTGATATTCTGCGTAATGTCAACTCACATAGTGACCATTCATGTGTGGACATGAATTCAGTGCATCTAAATTCGACGAGAAAGGCAACAGGTCAAATCTGTCACAATATCACACGGTCATTGACGTTTTGATTTTGTCTTGTTTACTGCTTACATCGTGGTGGAAACTTAGGTCATTATTGGTGAAAAAGGAAAACCATACAATAGGTAATTTTTAATTAAGGATCGATGTCCCCTCCAAGCAGACGAAAAATTCTGGAGAACACTCATACAAAAGGGCCCTCTTGTGATATAAGTGGAGAGGAAACAGAAGGATGAAGAAGTCAAACCTGCCAATTAAAATGACGTTTGGAAAATTGATGCCAAAAGTGCTATCCGATCCCAAAGTCAGTTACGTTACGATAAAGAGAATTCATCCGAAATAACTACAAGTTCAACTGCGGAGGAACTAATGAACAATGTGCGGTCAGCTGATGATAACGCTGACAACATTCTAGTGGAAAGGATCGTCGTACCCCGGTTGATAGTATTTAATCAGTAGGAGTGTGCGTCGAGTATATTTACATATGTAAAGACCGGTCATGAAGATTTCGTCTTATAACTGAAGCTAATGTAAGCTGAAAAGCGGAGAAGCACCATGCAGTAGTTTCATTCTTGTTGGGAACCAATAACAGTGCGTGTCTTATGGATTTGGAACCCATGACCTTCAGGCTAGTGATCTGAACACTAAGCCGTTCGACCCGTAGGATAACTGTGATGTCAACCGATCCATTCAGTTAATGTTTTTTCATCTCTCGCCGGAGTTCTTTATTTTTTATAGACCAAATTCGGCTGAGGAAATAAACCATACAACTAGTAATTCTTTGTGAACTAGGCTACAAACCAAGGTCTCTGACCAATTAGTCAGTTATACACTAAGTGCACCTGTACTAAATGTGCGACTCTGATGGGACAATATTTTATGTAAAGTGAGCATCACACATGGGGGTTTTCTTTCTTCAACTACAGAACAACGACTGGGGAAAAAGCAATAAAACCTCGGAAATTGAAATCCCAGAAAAAACATGCATCATGTATGTAAACAGTCCAATTTTAGCGTTTTCTGCAAGGAACTAGCAGAAATACACTTTGGGGCTTATCTAAATAACGTGAGTCACGTATAATTTATTGCTGAGAAAAAACATGGACACTGTCGCATATTTCGGCAGCCAGAACATAAGATCTTATATGCTTTCTGGACTGGGATCTTCCAGCTAGAGCAAAGTAAACACATGAGTTTCTAAAGGCACAGGAGAACAATAATCAGCTAGTATATGGAAGATTAATAAAACAGTGGTTTAAGTACCCATGTCCACCTGTGAGATGCCGATAGAATGAGTCACTCGGAAGTGGAAAACGCCAAACATGCCACTCTGTTTGTGGGGCTTATAACTTATGTTGATAATCAGTGGCAGATAACTGAAGAGTTCCAACTGTGACCAAACTGCTCTGCCCCAGTACACCGTGAGCGTCATCGACATTGTGTGGCGAATCATTGAAATTCAAGTGACAGGCTCACTTCGGATTAACCATCGTTGTGAGGTTATTCGCTTGGACTGATTTTTGCCTGCATCACTCATCACAGGACACAGTGCGCGTAAAAATGAGTTACCACGGTTACTCGACGTATGTCTATTCGTTTAGATGATGTGACAATTTCATTAGGGTCCTTCCTTCACCCTTTCATGCCAGACGTCTTGAAAGTTTTAAGTGCATGACTTGGAAACTATCACAAAACGTCCATCATTTGCTTCCATCGGTCTTTCCAAACCCGGTTTGATGTCCCCTTTACAGTCATATGGCTCAGCTTGACCTTATTGTTTAAGGTCATGTCAAAATTTATATACCGGATCGACGTGGTCAAAATCGCATCTATCATAAGCCATCTACCAAGTGAGTGATCGACGTCGCACGTCTGTAAAAGTGAAATGCTTCCTAACAAATCCTTAAGCAATTTAGAGTTTTTAGACAACCGTCTTAAAATCAAATATCCATCAAGGCAATGCAATGCAACGGCTTTAAAACAGAGTTGTGTTACAAAATTTGAGTAATTTTCCGAGGATAAAGCAAGCTGCCACAATGATGGGGCGTGATATTTTGGATGCTCAAAGATAACTATACAAGTCCACCAATGTACTCAAACGTCATCAAGCATCTCTGATACTAAAGTTACGAATGTTATGCCGGGTATGACCTGAACTGATTTATATGCTGAACCCGAGTTACATTCCGGTCAGGAAACCAACATACAGTATGATTGAAAAAGGCTTATTGTATGGTGAACCAATAGTCACAAAAATACCCATCCAACATCAAATTACGATGTCGACAGACAACGAACGTCACTTCCGTTAAACGGATTCATGAAGACACTGTAACAAAACGGGGTTTGGTAAGGTTTTGCTTATTTGGGTCGCCTCCAATGCAGCGATTTCTAATAGACTAGTTGAATGGAGTCATCCAGATTTAAACACATTTGATCTTCACTTCTGCTCTGTGCCAGCCAGACCAAGGCTTCTAGTGAATTAGGTTCACTTGCAGAGATAAATCGATACTTGAATATGTGAGAAAAACTCACGTGCGCTGGTGATGTCCTTCTCAGGCATATGCTCTAGGAGTCCACACACTAGATACTTGTTCATTTATCTTCATTATGCTAGCGGTCCTAAAAAGACAGGGCGCCTGCTGTACAGCCTTATTCTATTCTTTGTCGGATTATAATTGCCGATCCTATTGTAGGTAGAGAGTATGCCAGCGCTTCGCCAGTCAACGCGAAAGACTTAGAAACAGTGAAGTCCTTAGTGGTAAAATGTACAGCCTTTTATCACTGTTTGTCACATGCCAGGTTTTTTCTACATCACTGCACCCATTCATATGTATTGGCAGAAGCTGTCGACGGTAACTGAAACAAAGCTGTATGGCCCTGTTTTACTTACTAATGTTCGAAATGAGCCGATGAGTTACTGAATTTTCAGTGAACGGGTGTTCTTGACAGACAACCGTGAGGCATGCGGCCTTTAAAACAGTGATTCTAAGATAACTTTAAATTGACGCACTCGACCTCCCAGATCATAGTGAGCAGCAGAAGTGGCTAAGGTAAGTAATACACTACTCATTAAGTTGCTGGAAACGCTTCGATACATGTGTGTATGTGTCCGGCAGTGCCAGAAAATTGAATTGCACACTGAAAGTAGCCGCTTCTGAACACAAACAGCCAATCTGGTATCCAAATCAGCCTCATTGGACAGCCAATGTTCAAAGCACCAAATTTACTAGACACATCCGGGAGAATACACCGGTTTTAAGTTTTATGCTTACGCATTCATCAACGTGGAAGATTGTTACTGAAAACGAAGACTGCCTTGGTGTTCATCTAGTGTGCAAAGTAAGCGGATGCATTGCATACTTCGAAATCCTGCCTTCACATACTAACCAGTTTGCACTTGAGTGAAGTATTTAGTTTGTCAAAACCTCTGTGCAACAAGCAAAAAAAACCTTGCTGATGTCAATGGTCGATGATCTGTTGTCCTGACTACTTGGTCCACCTATTGGTTGACCTAAAAATTTTTCACTTATCGGCAGTTGATATACTTGTAAATTGTTCTTGGAGAAGAGCGATGGACTTGACCAACTTATTCGTGCTTACATTTACAGAATCAAAGTGTAACAATGTGGACTGCAATCGATGTTACTCGAAGCAAGGGAAAAGTATATGCTGTCATGAACAATGTCTAGGAGGCTGTACTGGTCCAGAACCAACCCAGTGCAATGTAAGTGGCTTGAGATGTTGTTGTAGTGTGACGTACTACTGTTGCTTTGACCTTATTTACACTGGCGTCCCTCAGTGAAACATGTGCCAGGTATTTCTCCCTTCGGTATTTGCTTCCACATTTTCAAACTATAGTTACCGGTCGATCACCTCTTACTTTGTTCCAATGCTCTTCTAAACTTTTCAAATCCTTCTCATGAGGTTTCAACCTGCACTTTAGTAATTAATTGCATAGATTAATGTCAAAGCTGCCCGTTGGACAAGATGCGTACTTCGGTTGAATCTGAAGGAGTTGAGTTTGGGCATATTCTCGTATCTCAGCTAGAACATGTAAACTATGGGCTCTTAGAAACCAGACGTACGTTCATAAGCTCAACCTTTCGGCTTGTGTAGGCAAAACATCACACAAGTGCCGAATAATGGATAACTAATACTGTAAGAGAACCGAAGATATAGGGTGTAGTGCCCAGCCAACAAGACAGTGCGATTTACCCTGAAGGCCTGTCCCAGTATAACAACAAAAACATTTGTAGAGATCTGCAGCACGATAAACGACGAATCATTGCATCGTATTCTATACTCTAGCTACCTTCTCGCATACCATGTTCCTTTTTCTGAATGCTCCATCCTGTGCACCCTGCATCCTATGCACCTAAATTTTCCACCCAGCCAAACCAAAACTGACCAAGCGGTAGCCATTATATTGACGAATAAGTTGACCGGTTGACATACTTCAACAATGTGGGTGACAGACTTTACAGTGCCGTTAGGGTGAATTGAATCAAAAAGCTGAATGGCGAAGAGTTTTATCTTCAGTTGTGACAGAAAATTCCGAAAAAAAAACAGAATTTTCTGAGCGAGTCATTCATTCTTGCGTGATTACTTGAGAAAAAGGATTTAGTGCCAAACGTTCGTGTTAAGCTCGCAAATTAACCTTCAGAAGTTTTTGTCTTTGAGCTGGTTCATCAGATAAGTGTAGATTGACGAGGGTATAAATTAACGACACTACTGGGATAAGCCGAGAACTTACAGACTGAAAGGTCTACGGTTCGAACCCAACCTCAGCATCTTGACTACGTCCCTCTAGGCTTGGACAGTCTGGCAGAACGATTATTGTTTGCGTGTATTAGTATGGATGTTTACCACACATCAGTTTTATCAGCAAGTTTCTTTCATCACCGGCATAATCATTTATGACAATTCTGAGATGAACATGACCGTGAACCACTTATTATGCTCCTTACGAGACTGAGAACACTGGTTTGAGGGTTCGACCTAACCTAAATTTATCGCCTATAAGATTTGGGCATCCGAAATTTCCGACAGTAGAGTAAGTGACACTTACTTGGTGAAGACGGAATTCTAAATCATACTCTTCAGTCACTTTATATATTTTGAATCGGCCTTACCCGGATCAGCACTCTGCCTGAAAGCCTTATTGCTCTGAGAAGTGTTCGCAACAATTCTGGTTCTTCGAATTTGTAACACAGTAGACCGGTTCGCCAAGATCCCCTAACTCACATTTCGCCTTTTAACGAAAGACGTGGACCACGATTGGTTTCAACTCTGTTTTCTCCTTGAAAAAAATCACCGAATAAATCATTCCTTAAAATAAACAGACCAGTGGATTTACTTCACTTATCTGTCATGCACCTTTGAAGTATTGTCTGCCACTAGCTACCGGAGGAGTTGATTTATGAGGTTGGAAGACACTTTTGTTAATAAAATTTTGCCGATTTTTTTCACGTACTATCAGACTGTTTTAGTTACACATATCTTTTTCTAGGTCACTTGTGTCTTTAAGCTATTAATGACAGTTTTTCGAAGCAAAGCATTGGATTATTAAAACTTTATTCAAAAAAAGCAGAGTGCTAAATAGATTATTCTAACCTGTCAATTATACAAAGAACATCTTTAGCTCAGACGCAAAAGTTGGAGTGAAAGTGCATTGCGGAACACATCTGGTAATAAACACAAACCCGCATATTAAATGCATGCAAAAAATTCTTAGTTGATTCACCCTTCGAGAACTTTTGACGTTCCTATCATACATGGAAAATGTTTTCTGACGATCAGCATCTGAACATATGTCGTTAACAGGGGCCGGACTAGACATCTTTCTTCTGATTTGGCTCTTAATTTGGGGGATGTATTTTGTCCCAAGTATAGTATATAATCCTTTCCAGCACAAAATATACCATATTTTAGTGCAGTATAACATACAATGCTATACCATGTTGTACTTTATTATGCTTTGCTGTACAATACTGCCCTATACCGTACTGTGCTATACCATACCACAATAAACTATGCTACGCTGTACTATACCATAAAAAACATACTATACCCTACTAAAGAGTGCTATCTACACTACACTATACCGTACTCTACTTTACTTTACCCTTTCATATTACACTCTACTATGTTATACTGCACCACGCTGCACTGCGCTATACCACACCACGTTGTGTTATGTCATAAAGTAACACATATGTAATAATGCATATAAATTTTACTAGATTGCATTTCGCTACAAACATCCCCATTATTTCAACCCAAACAGTTTTATTTTCTGAATGGTCTCGCAATTAGATCTTACCGAATGAAAAGAGGGATAATATTTGCTGTACCAGGTTTATGAACGTTTGGCTGCCCTAACTTTATGTTTTTGCAAACCTACGCTTTTAATTTACCAACATAGTCCCTAGCTTCTAGGAGACATTAAAAATTTTGAATATCGGGTGATTTTGCAAACATCCAACATGACTACGGTGGAGGGTATCGAGGTGGTATCGTTGAATATTATGCACTTTGCTGCATTCAACCTGAATTTCGTCGAGCAGTATGATTGGGCCCTTATTGATGGCTTCAGTGGAAACGTTGTCACTGGTAAACTCAGGGTAAGACTTTAGCGAAGGAGTACGATCAACTGTGGCTTATCTCATCTGTATAGGTGCTGCATAGGGGGCTGTCACGAGCTAACTGTTTGACTGCAAAATATTCGGATGCGAATTCCTAAACGCAGTAAACAAGCGGTCCCAGAATAACGTAACCGTAATGGATTTTAAGGTTATTTCCAAGAAGGGTTAACTAATTTTAATAAGAAGCCGTCCTAGTTTGAAGGTCGCAGCACGTCAAATTGCCTCTGAATTGTTATGCTTGTAGCTATTCTGGTTCCCCATGAGCTAGGGAGGGTCACTAATCCTACTGATGTAGCAAAACGTAGCCTCTACCGCAGCAGACGTTTAGCTCGATCGCAGTAACCGGAACAAATGGGTTCACTGAGTATTCCTCAAGGACCACACTCATACCGCTAAGCTATACTTGTAATTGAATTTGTTGTCAGGCTACTTTGATGATAACCACAGGAACTACGTTTGGTCGCCAGAGCGATAATGACACTGTAAATTTTTTTTGTGGGAAATGTAATCGGTAGATGGTAAGTTTTGTCACCTCGTAGATATCACTCTATACCAAAAAATAACCAGCCCGCAAGTTTCCTCGGAGCGAATACACTTGTGGGCTAAAGCTGGTGGACGTAATCTGAAAAATAGATTCTTTAAGTACTAGTCAAGTAAGTGCTTTACCAATCGGAGAGTGGTGATGAGGCTGTCTTTTACGGAGTTTCTATACGCCCATTTATAAGCCCACATCACTTCATTATGTGGGTCGCTTCAAAGTTGTTCTTGATGGATCTCAACTTTGAAGAACTTATTGGGATCTACACGCACATACACCGTTCACCAAAGGGAACGATTAAATGCAAATTACAATCTATAAGGGGGTATAAGTTGGGTTAACATCCGGCAGAAGGAAGGACAAGGGAGCTGAGCAGTGCTCAAGGCACACATTTTAGCGCACAGTCCAAAGTGTTTCATTCTTTATCAAACTGCTCAGTCAGAAATGACATACTGTGGGTTGAATGTTCCCCTAGTTTCAACCAGCTTCCAGGGTGACAGAATGTTTATCCCGGTTGTTCTATAGCTAGAAGTTGTATGTTTCATCCATTTTGAATAAGAAACTAGTCAAAGTACACCCTCACAAAAACCTGCAGTTTGTTGTTCTTCGAAACCGTTTTTATTTGTGTTTCGAGTTTTGTCCTTCTGGCTCACCTTATTTGTCCTCCGAAGCGTTCATTTATCAAGGTTGCCGAGTTAAAAAGTTAGAACCGTGTTGACATTTTTACGCTGACTTTTATATGAAATCCCAGAATAGAAAAACCCAGGGTTGTTGAGCTGAATTGTTTTTCGTCTTATCAGAACAGGGTAAGACTGCTCTGTTTCGAAAAACAGGAGTGCTGGCTGGGTGTGCTCCATGACCGAATAGACTGAATAACTAGAGTCCTATTTGTGTCTATGCTTGTGACATATTCCAACAAATTTTCATCTACCTTAGCTTTTGATGATACGTGGATATCTGAAGCCAGTACTGACTGGTCTTAGGGCGCTGCGTTGTTTATCTCCAGTCACGTGTCTGGAGTAAAGGGGAACATGTGAAACAAATATTAATCATCTGCTCATGGCTAGCTCCATCATTTCGTGCAATAAAGCCCACGAATTTATGAAAGCTGTCATCTATGCAATATAAAGATCAATGCTTCCTGCCATGAAACTCATGCTCGAAATTAACTGATTATTGATCAGCGGAGTCTACCCAGTGTTCTAGTAGTATAACCACCTAAAAAGTGCGAGCAGCACGGTTTTTTTATGTATGCAGTCATATAAACTGCTTGAACTTCTTTTTCACCAGGCTTGTAAAGAGTACATCGACTCTGGCACGTGTGTCGCACATTGTCCGCAGAATCCTGTGGTAAAGAACGGTGAGATGACTCAAAATCCCCAATTCAAATATCGTCTGGGTGCCCTGTGTGTAGCCGATTGTCCACGTGAGTGATTTTATCTTCATCTTTATAACCAATCTCTCATCACCTTCAAATCCTAATACAGTGATATCTCCCCAAAGATTACACGATTAGAAGCAAATCATAGCAGTGAAGAACGTTTCATTCTACTTAGCTTTTTAAAAAATGAATCGCCTTGGATTAATGTACGCGACAGTTAACAATTTATGGAAAAACAAACTGTGCAAAACTAATATCTGTGGGTTATTTTCCACAGCAAGATTTTTTATAAATGACTGAGTATATGCACTCGACGACAACTCCCAAGCTTGCCTTGCACGAATAGGATGTCCTTAACTGATAATGTTACGGGGACCCTCTGAACAGTACCTTTCAGCGATTCTTTTTACTGAGAGCTTAGTCAAAATGTCAAAAAGGCCCTTTTACGCAAGGATTTTGAATTTTTTTGACCAGTCTGATTTCGCGTCAGCGCGGTAGCTAGTGGACACACTACTCCGCTCGGTCGAGTTGTATATTTACTTGTGCACGTTTCGTCAACCAAGCAAATGCTCTCGAGAGTATTCTTTAGTTGAAAGGTAACTTTTCACGTGGTCTCAAACTATTGGTGCACACTAGCAGGACACCAGAAGCAAGGAAGCAGCATGCGTTGTGAGTTCGCCCAAATCCACTTGCTCAGCTGTAATGTGATGGTTATGGGTCTAAATAAATGGAAGTTGGAAGAGTGTTCCAAGCAACCACACAACTTGGACGAATAGACCGCCGATGATATGGGCCAGCGGGATGAGACATCTAAATCGTGGCAACAAACGACCCCGTTCACTACACCAAGATATTTGTACGAATATACAGTAACTTAGATCAACATGGATCAATTAAAACCATGTTGATACACTTCAGCAATCAATGAATATTAGGAATACATAATTTGGTCTGTTCAATTTATTCATTTTCAAATAGATCCAGTCCGTTATGTGAAGATACCTGGCGTGACAGAATAGGACCCGTCAGTTTTGTTTGTTGTTCCCCCCCCCCCTAAAGTAAATCTTTGATCAATTCAATACATAGCGATAATATGAGTCAAAATAAGTCTGTTACATCTTACTTTGTTTGTTTTCCGGTTGCTTACATATGATATATACGAAAGTGGCATCTCGCCTCCTCGCCCGAAGTGGATAGTGAGGAATAAACAATTTGTCATTTATAAGGAATCTACAATTACAGTGTGTTATTGTCATATGCTGAAGATTCAGATTAACCTTGATGAAGTTCGATCTTGTCGTGACACTTCTCAAAAGGTCGATGAAAAAACTGGACGTCAGCCTATTGGTTTTTGTCATCACTCCAACTCTCCAGCGAGGCCTAACCGCTGAATCTTCAGCAATCTTGTATCGTAACTGAACAAAATATTTCACCTATTTAGCCATAAACGCTCCCATGAATTTAATTTGAGGCGCCCGTTAGTATTGACACCCTGAAAATTGTTCCACCTGAAACAGTTGAAGAATAAAATAAACGAGAGTTTCAGTTAAATTACATTTGAGTCTTCCTCTAAACCAACTTTGTTTGAAGTCAACTGTTCAAGACTGCATGTCATACTTCACTTGAAACGGCTTGTGAATCAGTACTCTGAAGTCAGATGAAGGGCGGACTAATGTAGCGAAGTTAGCGAAGACAGTAGTGGATTCTTTTATAACAGGATTACTTTTCATGGCAGCTCAGTTTAGCACCTGTCAATTAGGATCTCTCTGAGAATTAAACTACCCTCACTCAGTACAATGCAATTCATGTGATGAAAACTCAACAGAGTAGTTTACTCACTAAGGATACCTTAGTATTTTTGATTGCATCTACGATTCACTGGACGTTAATAGGTGGCGTGTTTTGATAAACGTCAAAAGAGGCCTTTTGTATTCCTTATGCATTTTTGCAATGATCGAGTGCACGAAAAAGCCATTCATTTGCCTGAGCATAAAGAGTCATATGTTTCAACGCTACGAGAAATCATATCCAATTTGTGTCACTTAAACACTTTCGGAAATTTCCAGTTGATTTCAAGAACCCCCCTGTTGGAGTTTCGAAATGAAGGTGCACGAAACCTTTAATCAAAACAGTGATCGTACGCATACTACGTTCCTAAGACCTGTACCAATTGACCAATTAGAGCATTTTGACGAACATTTACACGTAATGTGTTTTGAGACAGGTATGGTGGACGGTTAGTTGGTTGACTGACGGTTTCACAAGCCATTGTTCANCACCTATTTAGCCATAAACGCTCCCGTGAGTTTAATTTGAGGTGCCCGTTAGTATTGACACCCTGAAAATTGTTCCACCTGAAACAGTTGAAGAATAAAATAAACGAGAGTTTCAGTTAAATTACATTTGAGTCTTCCTCTAAACCAACTTCGTTTGAAGTCAACTGTTCAAGACTGCATGTCATACTTCACTTGAAACGGCTTGTGAATCAGTACTCTGAAGTCAGATAAAGGGCGGTCTAATGTAGTGAAGTTAGCGAAGACAGTAGTGGATTCTTTTATAACAGTATTACTTTTCATGGCAGCTCAGTTTAGTACCTGTCAATTAGGATCTCTCTGAGGATTAAACTACCCTCACTCAGTACAATGCAATTCATGTGATGAAAACTCAACAGAGTAATTTACTCACTAAGGATACCTTAGTATTTTTGATTGCTTCTACGATTCACTGGACGTTAATAGGTGGTGTCTTTTGACAAAAGTCAAACGAGGCCTTTTGTATTCCTTACGCATTTTTGCAATGATCGAGTGCACGAAAAAGCCATTCATTTGCCTGAGCATAAAGAGTCATATGTTTCAACGCTACGAGAAATCATATCCAATTTGTGTCACTTAAACACTTTCGGAAATTTCCAGTTGATTTCAAGAACCCCCCTGTTGGAGTTTCGAAATGAAGGTGCACGAAACCTTTAATCAAAACAGTGATCGTACGCATACTACGTTCCTAAGACCTGTACCAATTGACCAATTAGAGCATTTTGACGAACATTTACACGTAATGTGTTTTGAGACAGGTATGGTGGACGGTTAGTTGGTTGACTGACGGTTTCACAAGCCATTGTTCAGCGCCAATTGTACGTGGTCCCAAAAGTTGAAAGACATTCGAGCCCTCAAAGCAAATGAATTAACGTGCCTGGCTTTAAGAACAAGTCTCCCTATCAGACGCAGATAGATTTGAAATCCGATTCGGCTTCCGAAACTTGAAAGGCGAATTTCAAATTACGTTTCACATTACAAGTCGGTGTCTTACGTTGTGCGCGTCTCATACTCTCCTGAACACACTCCGTGCGAGACATCAGCTCTACCACCTGGGTCCGACAGGTGGTTGAACTGAAATCGGTTTACATGTCATGACTTTAAGATTACTGTGCCGTGATTCCAATGAATCTTACGGGAAACAAACTTGGTAATACCATCAGAGATGGCAGCATTCAGTGTTCGCTACCACTTGCAGCTTGCTGGAAAGGAAAATGAACACGTGATAGCATGACCGGATATTTATCAGGACATCTATCAGCCAGTCGGAACTCAAACATCGTATGTTAATGAATGTACAGCTCAATACAGCTCAGTGGTTAAGGCACGAAACTACTGATCGGTAGGTTCATGGTTTGAAAACAACCCCGGTAGTCAAGCGTTCCTGTCTAGGTTTGGGGAACCTAGCAGCCTCTGAGCCCTCCTGCACCCTCTGTGTGACACGTTAACTAGACGCCGAAAGGGTTGTGTAGCTGAAAGATTAGTATAACTGACTGTCAGTTCACCGCAATTCACTGCAGAAAGAAACCCTTCCCGAACACAGGTGACTCATGTGCAGAGTTACAAACCGCAATGCTCTTCAGCTATATCCTACAATGCGATTCCCCCCAGACGTCCTCCAAGAGTAAGTGCATTGTATTCCTCTTTAGTGAGCTCTATTTAAGGCACTGGTATGCATCGAAAGATACTGTTTGTGTTCTCAATGATCGCTGGTTGGATTTCGGCTACAACATCGAAATCAGCCATCCTAGAACAAATTAACGCCCTGAACCTGATGAACATGGCTGAACCACACATTGTAGGTATCTACTTCAGACATTCAAAGGTTTCTCGCTAGTAATGCGTTTTTCACGTCTCTTCTTTGCTTCAGTGCACTGGTTCAGTTCACTCGATTAGCAGAAATCCCAGCGTTTCTCGTAACACTGGAACTGTTATGTTGGCAGACAATCAGTCTTGGTCTCGTTGTACCTCGATGTTCTTTGTTTACTTTTTTCAGCCGGTTTTCTCGTTGAAAGCGGTGCCTGCGTGACTCATTGCACAAGACCTGGAACCCATGCGGTCGGCCGAAATTGCCTGCCTTGTGACGGGGGACGATGCCCTATAAGTGAGTATTAGACATGCCCAGACAGACGGTGCAAATCACTTTTGACTAGATTTTTCGAAAACCATTCATCTTTAGACCACTTTTCACCTACGTACAAGTTTGTTCAACTGGCTGATATAATCATATACGATCTAAGATTGGTTGCTCCAAAAACCGTCCGTTGTATTAAGTAGGCAATTAATTTTTCGTAAACTATGGACTCGAATGAACATATTGATTGTATTTTCCCTTGCAATATCTGAAAGTTTGGTATTCCACACTGTCTTATAGAGTCAAGTGACAAATTTTCTTACTTGTCCTATGTGGGCACTTGATGGTCTTGAATATACCACCACTTCATCTGACACTCGCTTACCACTACTATTTCGTCACTTGTCAATAGGGTCTAATTCACTTGGAAAAATAACGCACACGGCCTTGACGAGTCGGTTATGAGGAGTAGATATGAACAGTGAAGTGGTCCTATAATAGGGTTCACATTCAGGTCTTGGGGAAGTGTTTCTTTTTACGGGTAGGTCCCTATTCAGAGCGATCGACCACATCTTTATTTAAACATTACAGTCCCATAAGTCGTGGGTGAGATGCCTGACGTTTTGTGAATTATGTGGAAGAGTACGTCAGATGATGAATCGCACAATATATTATTGTTTCTGTTTTGTTGCGTTTGAAATAACGTCCTTGAACGATTGACATCAGAAGTCACTACAAACTCTAATGACCTACTTAGTTGCAGGATTTTAATGACTGAAATACAAACTCTGTGAGTTTAGTCATAGTCCCAAGAGTAGTATGCTTTTACCTGTCACTCACGGCGCCGTCCTGTGAGCTGTTAGACCGTAGCCGTTAGAGATCAGATATAATGATGGATTTGTTAGTTTGTAATGGACCAAGACTTAGCAGATTTACTTGAAATAAACAAACAAATTTCGCTTGCTTGACACTCAAGTGTGAAGTAACCCACTTTATGTCTGCACGTGCATATCTAGAGTGCGCAAAACTGGGAGACATATGATAGGTAACTTTATACAACAGCAAGCAAAAATTCCATGGCTTCAATACTTTTCGGTTGTTCTTCAACTATTGCATTAACAACTACAAAAAGCTTAGCAGCGTCCGATGACGTCCGTCACCGATCAGTTCACTTTATATGAAAAGGCTACGTTAATTACCACGATGTCATTGTTTGAGAACTTGTTATTTAACCGGATTACCAGCCATATGAATGTGCTTTCATCTAGTTTACTTCAACGTGGATTAATTTAATAAACACCAAGCTCACGATTTACCGTAGGTTGCATGATTTATTTTATACGCACGAACCATGAAGCCATTCATTTTACGAAACATTCAGTTATCGAGCTGGGACTTTGTCAAAGAGGGTAACAAGTAGAGCTAAACTTGATTTGTGAACATCAGGTCTCACCAATGCTAAACGGGAGATAATCAACGTATCCCTGTTCCCGAACAAACAGTTCATTTTTGATGGACTAAAGTGCTAACCGGAACTAAATTGGCGCACCAAAGAGTTTTCATTTCCCCTGTTTCCAAAGATGGTTTATCCATGTCGGGGAGTCCTTACCGATCCATTCAGGAGGATGTGAACCCTCCCACCAATCTTATGTTGAGTTTCACCTGACCAGAAAGAAGTGGTATCTTAAGAAGAAGTCACTACTTGTGGTGGACATATTACAGAACCAGTGTAAATATTCCAAAGGAAGCCCACATGAAATGAAGGGATAAAGCTGTTTCTTTTCTTGGGGATGCTGTAGAGTCTGGTATTCATTTTTCCAGTGAATGACACTAGGGAATTTCAGTGATAAATTCATTGGTGATGTATTTTACCAGCTACTTTATTGTCATGCCATTTCTTTCATAACGTTCAGTTCATCAAAAGATCGTCCTACTCCAGTCAAATTTGAAACTTGAACCTCGCCTGTCCAATAGGCAGTGGTCATTAGTTTAGTCAATCCTGAGACTTTTAGAAAGAAGTCTGATAATGACCTTTGGCGTGGCAGTTGTATGATGGCTCGACCGCAACTGACCATATCTAAGCACCCACCTTCTATGATTGAAGCTAAATCCCGCCTTCCAAGATGAAAACATCATAGAGGCCTATTGTGTGAAATGCGTACTGATGGGCTAAAAACTCTGTACTATAATCTCGTGTCAGTGGTTGATAAACAGAAACAAAGTGAGGATCGGCTGCTCTTTGAGGTTAAAAAGTTTGAAATATGACTTTTAGACATCGTTTAAGAAGGGCTTGGTAAACAATTGATAGTTTTAATTGGGCAGCGTTTCAATTTTCAAACTGATTAAAGACTTATAGACATTTGCACCATATGATACGTCAATGAGAGAAACTTTGCGACGCATATACCTTCCCACACACTTCAAATCCGCCCGCTTCTTAGACAGGCCTCAAAACAGTTAACCCATAGAACTGAGTGGTTAAAATGGAAGTTCCCTAGTTGGCCGATTATCTGAGTTAAGAATTTATTTCCCTGTTCAGTGGGTCTACAACCTTAAGGTTCATCAACGTCCATGGTGGCTCTTAGTCCTCCAGTTTGGATCTATATTTATGCTCCATCAGAGTTTCCTACCAAAAATAAAATGAATTTTGTGTGAGACTAGTTTTATCACTCCTCAGGAAGCAAGTAACTCTTCACAATCCATTGTTTTCCTTGTGAACAGCTTGCAAACTTGAATATCCTTTATCGCACAGCGGTTCAGAAAAGCAAATTATTAATGCTGTGAACCTCAGAAGCTTAACGAATTGCACGCATCTCCAAGGAAATCTGGTAATCACCAACGAATCGTTCCATATCAAGTGAGCAGTTTTCCCATCTACTGATGATTGGATGTTACACGTTCTTGTCCTTTTTAGCTTTACTGTTTGTTATACTCGCCTTTAGCCTGAAAAACTTTACTCCCAATGTGCCTCACTCTGGTTGGATTGCATCACCTTTCGTTCAAGCTGATTAGAGCTCGCTTGTAACAGTCGCTTGAAAAATCCAAGCTTGCACAGGTGACTCTCAATACGTTCTCTGAAGTGGTCGTGAAAATTTGGAAAAAAGTGCTCGATTCGTCAAAAGTAGTGACTACTCTCCATACTTCACTCTTATTATCATCCGAGTTTGGGTCTCTACTGGGACTTAAGATCCCCGCTTGTTTAGTCTGAACCCGATAAAATGTGTCCTTCATTCTCACTGTGTATGGACTTCTGTGGTCACTGTGACCCTGACCAGATCTAACCTAGGCACTGATGAAAATTTTACTGTTATAACTGTCGCATAAATCGCTGAATTCTCCTGTAACTCCGCTGTTAATACCCCCCGATCACTGCTGCCAGGCCCTCATATTCATTGTATCATCCCATTAGTGCGTTTTTGATTGCACAGTGATCATGTTCATATCCGACTATAATCGCATGCTTCACCCAAGCCACGGTGATGTTTTTATCCGTCTCTGGAACGGAATATGCACATCCTTACATCCTACATGACTCCGCCAGGAACGCACTGGTTTGTCATCATGGTAACTGACATTTTTTCCGTACACACAAAACATAGTCTCTAGTCATGATCACAATAACATTCCCCTGAGTCATCGAATTTGCTGGACCGCTGGCTTCGTTCGTTGCAGAACTAAATGGATGAGCACATGCTTGAACGAAAAGTATCACTGAAAACGAGATGAATGAGCGTGCAAATCAGATTACCGTGAGGTTGCACTCAGACGCCGACAGACGTAGGAATGCGGATTTCGCGCTGCAACTTGGGAACATCATTCGAGATCAGTTTCAGACTCCGAGATTGACTCAGATCAGGGTGTCCGTGAAAGATTCGTGAATGTGGTTGAATGGTCAAAGTACAATGGATTTCGAATGGTATTCAAATCTAGACTGTTGGACAGTTGGTGAATGCCTATTACACGCGACAAAACTTTGGAAATATGGAAAGAAATCTTGTCCTACATTCCTTGTTGGCTAAGCATGCGTGTTTTGGTCAGAAAGATATTTCCTCGAACTATCCTAATGCTGACAAGGAATCCTTCAAAGTAAACGATGGAAGTGCTTTAAAATTAGAGTGACTAACTAAGGCGTCGGTAACACAAAGCCGCCTGATAGAGGTTTTTCTAATTAGATTTTACCGGTGTATAATTAATGTATGAATAAATGGCTATCGTAAAACCTTGTGTAACCGTTTGCCATCTGTAGGCAACAATGGTACTGAGCAAATCTTTCGAGGATTGTATGTCTCTGAACGTTGGTAATGACTCACATTAATTCAGCCGCGTTTACCTTCGTGGTGGACGCTCGTCTAAACATCGTTGCGGTGATTTGATAGTTCATACCAAACTCTAGGAAATATAGTAAGTTATTTCTACCGATTGAAGAAGTTGGGTTTTCAACTTTGACTTCTACTGTCTCCTGTTGATTACCGTTCGAATAAGTACATTTACTAAAAAGGTTAGTTTTTTACTCAAAGGTTGGACTTCCAGCAGTATTGCACAAGCATGCTCGTTCGCAATTGGCAACCAGGCTTCACAAATTGCTCCATTACATTACGTTTCCAGTTTTAGACACGCTGATCGTAATTATGGCACAACAAAATGATTTCCGGACACTCAAATTGTCAATGGTGCCGTCCCCTGAATCACCCATTTTTACTGCTACGCAGTGAACCGCTAGATTAGAGCACTTTCTTTTATAGGGACAATAGGGCAATTAGAAATATCAGCAAAGAACTCTTTCGAATTTGTAAACCAGTCAGTCATTATTCGATCACGGTTAAACTGGAGCGTAGATTAGCTATTTTTAGTGTACCTAGTGTCCAGAAACTTTAGGAAGAAAGAGAGGTCAGCCTGATTTTCTCGGAAAATATTGGTGGTTTCTCACAGTATGGAAAACCTACTAATAAAATTGTATGAGAAGCACCTGTGCCTTATTGCGCATCACCACTGTATTGTTCAGTCATTAATTGCCAGAGATTTTAATTGAGCACATTCGCTTTGAGCTTAAGATAGCACAATGATTAAGAGGCGAAATTACTGGCCGAATGTCTGTAAGTTCAGCATTTAGACGGCTCCTATCTAGGCTACGGCACTCTGGCAAAGTCGAAGACTTCGTTCCTCCCCTGGATGGCATGGTGACTATGAGCCGAAAGTGCTACGGGATACACATGTCCTAGGCGAGTTTCCTAGGTGCATACCACGAACAGAGTGGCTTCAGCTATTCAGCTGTCCTATAGTTCGGCTTTCCCTGGGCGATAAAACTGCTGGACTCTCTCAACAGATTAATCTTAACGGTGAATTTATTCTCTCCTACAGTGCCCCGCCTCCAGTGCCGTAGTTTGAGCAAATAGCACTTCTGCTTTTTTACGTTTGCAGTACAACCGATCTGGAGACTTCGTTCTTTTGATTTCAGTCCCTCTATCCCTGGTCATGAACCCATTCGGGACATTGAGGAATTATGGGCGTTACATTCGCTTCGTGAAATTTTTGGATACGTCTACCTTGATCTCGGTTCGTTTGGTAACAAACTGAAGAACTTCAGTTTCCTCGAAAACCTTGTCAAAGTCAGCGGTTACCGTAAGTTCGTAAGCAGCATAACAGCCTTATTGTTGTTTGTGTCCAGAAACAACGCTCTGGTTCATGTTTATACCATGTGCTCCGCGTAGATACGTCTTCCTCTAAGGAGGGGACATTTCGGAAATAATATGTAATCCTTTGAACCTACAACTAACGTTCCAAAGGGCTATGCATTCCAGAAGTAAGCACATCTTCCAATAAAGCGAACCTCAATAATCAACGATCAAATCGTAAAATGAACGGCGAAGAATATTTTGAAAGTGTTTTGGTCATTTATCACACGAGTTTACCTTCAATGTTTGTGACGGTAATTGCTATATTTCTGACCATATCCTCCTTTTCACTGTCATCATAATTAGCATCTGGCGCTATCTTTCTCACAAAACAAAGTAGGTCGTATGTGTAAACTCTTCCTGTCAGGCCTACTCCAACAGAAGATTTGTTTCGAACAGTCTTAGCAAACTGACGGGACTGGAGCCCGTCGTAGATAATCGGCTACCATTTGTCCTAAACATCGTTGGTCAGCAGCATAAGCTATATTGACTACCACTGACAAGCAGTATGACCTCGAAGCAATGTCAAAGCTTATGGAACAGTCCAGTATGCGGGAACTGCGTTCCAGAAATCTTACTGTATTCAAAGGAATATAGTAAGCAAAGAATCACATAAAAATGTATTATTACAGATAAAATTGAGCAGTTCGTGTGAATGTGAAGTGACAAGCGTTGGAAAATAAAGTGGGTATCAAGTCAAGCACAGAATAGCTTTTCGAATTTCGAAGCTGCTTGGAAACAAGGTCACGTGGCCCATGTAGTTCTGCCGAGAAGTTTTCCGAAATATGCAGAGGGTGCAATACAAGTTTAAGTTCTCGCCTTGTATCACACATAACAGGAGCCTTGACATTAGGGAACAAACTAATTTTTACCAAATATGCGGAATAAAGCACGGTGTACTCAGTAAAATACATATAGCAGTAAGTGCTATTCATGCAAGAATCACTATTTTCCCTACCCCAAAGTAGTCATCTTCGAATATATATGTGTATTCCGACCAAAAGCTGCCACCTCGTGATGGTCAGAATTCAGCGCTTCAATCGTCCTTAGGCCGTACTGCCGATAACAACGTGCTAACATGACAAGTGTTATGCAGGAGGCAGTTTGCGATGAAATATGTTGATGTGAAACACCCTGAGATAAAAAATCGTACTGTTCGCTGCGAAACCCATGCAGCTTAGAATACACCTGATTAATGCAACAGAATTACGAATCCTCGAGCCTTGCATCGCCAGTGTGACCAGACTCACTGGTCAATGGCCCCAATAAACAGCATCTAGAAGAGGCAATCGGCCGTCGGTTTGTAGCTCAGATGTGTAAGACGAAACAACGGGAAGAGCCGAAAGGTGTCGAAGATATGAAAGTGGCAGCCACAAACAACCAAGATTGACGGTATGACAAGTTTTGTGTGGAGACAAATGGTAGCCAAGGTGGTGAAATACTATCACGCTGACGCAGCTATTATCAAAGAAATTTGGTGAGTTATCCAAAGAAAACTACTAGCGATTGGATACACATTCTTCAGGTCTGGAACTTCGCACGGGAGTCAATGGTAACATCACATCGGACTCAAGTGGGCTGATTACATGAATTAATCAATACTGGACTAATTCAGTTAGTGGATAATGGCAATCCTGCTTTAACCGTCAGGTTTCCTCTACCATTTCCGTCTACGTGCATGACCCTACCAAGTCTCATCAAGAGCTTGTGCTGGAAGAATTCTGTGAATAGTTACGAAGTGGTTTCTTAACTGTTCGGTCAGCTGATTGCTTGGTTCTTGTGGTTAATCTGAATAAGCGAATCAGTCATGACGAACAAGCGTCAAAAGAACTTTCGGAAATTGCAGCAAACGGCTGGCGTCAGCTAAACATAGATGCGTTTATCGAACTCGAAATAAAAAATGCCCATTTTGATTGCCCGACTAGTGAATTTCAAGAAAGTTCTCGCTATTAAGGTGATAGAGATACTAATTGCAGTGCGGATGACTCATCGTCCGATTCAAAGTGGCATTGGTACTACAGACCTTTTCGTACAGGCCGAATAGCGAGCAGATATTGGATCATTCGACGCTACATGATTTCTGATAGGCTGTCGCCCACAGACTGTCTATCTTAACGAAAAATAGAGAAGGGGGACACTAGCAAGGGACATCGGGACGGTTGCCACTGGAGCCGATGGATTTACGATCAGAGGTATCGAGATTGATCTAATAATAGGGATGCCTTGGTTTGTTCTAGTCGATGAGACGAACACGACTCCTACCAAGGTGCTCCATAAACCGTCAGATTGTTTGACCCAGGAGGATCTTCGCAACGAAAAGACAAATCCTTTTAACCATCTATACAGATGGAAGAATAAATGACAGGCTGACAGCTAAGAGATCCATTATTATGCAGATCGAGAATGTCTATGAAACACCTAACTTGATTGGGATCTGAACTTCAAACGTCTGGCAACGATTAATCTGTATTTTCCTTCGACTTGCACACAGGCGTTTCGAGCTACGTGACATGCCGTCCCAACACCTATTAAATTCGAAACACTTCATTGTCAGAACGAAGCTGTACCAGTCAAATATCCATACGTTGTTTTTAGCGGATGGCTGTGCTTCAGCTGCACAAGAGGAGGTGGAATTTTGGCAAGTAATTACAGCGCTTTTATCGGAATCACGTCACTTAGGTTTAAACCTGCCTGCTTCCGAAACACTTGTCTTGTGCCAACATACCCCGGGAGCAACAACGACAGGCACACTGTTTTCCTGCTAATGACTGCGGCACTAAGGATCGCGAAAATTTCCGTTACATCAGCAGCACCCCCCCGACAGGCTCGACGGTCGATAATTTACTACATGCTGATGTTTTTAATTCCAAGTAAATACAACGTGCGCTTGTGAACGTTAAGTCCGCCGTGCCCCGAGATTTAGTGGACTTTCCTACACTATAGCGGCGAAAACAAGGAAATTATTTCGGCAGCATGTTTGAATATCCGACAAATTTCACTTACAGGAATTGTCCAGAATATGTCAAATCCAATGATGAGATTAAATTCCGAAAACCTAAGATAGTCTTTTAAAACGCGACTAGCTAGATTGGATGGGCCACTTAGAAATAACAACACCCAGTAACGTCTTATTTGTGGACAGCTAGATAAGGGAGTTCGAACTAGTGAACGGTGAAAATATCGCTGCTATGAAAGGCTATTTGAAATTCAAGGAAAATCTGACGCTTAACTTAGAGGACTACCAGTTGCACAGGATTGAAGACTTCTGGAGTACAAAATATCTTATTATCCGAAGTGAAGCGAGTAAATTGAAAGTGTTGCATAATGTCGAGCCTAACCACAACTACCTACATAGCTGCAAATTGCGGGTTCGTAAAACCAAACAGAATTGGATTTTCCGATCACCAGTGTGAGCATTCCCTCCACCACGGAAGTGCCAATTATTTTACTAGATATCTCCAATTTTTGGTCAACATCCGTCAAACGCTTCTTTGAGTTCTACGCAATACTTGTCCCACCCTGTTGCTTGCCTAACCGAGTTAATGGTTGGCCTTGTCCCTCCGGGCTTACAAGAGTATCAGTGACTTGTACGTAACATTAAATTTGTCTCCGATTGTGTTTTATCCACTGCGCGCAGGCCACCAGCTGGTCAGATGCAGTTACTTGAAGTACTAGATTTCTGCAAATGCTTTTGTAAGACAAATGATTCTTGTGGAGCTGAACGTTTCCATTTGAACCATAGAGAATAAAATTGACGGATAGACTCATTAGAGCTCACAAAAGAGCCCAATCTAGACTGTATGTGGTTGGATTGCCATAGACGCCAGCTTTGAACTACAAATTTGAGCGTTGATATCGGCCGTCGATTCTTTCACTTTTCAATATAGTACTACATTCCATTCCACCAATACGATGCAGTCGTAGACCTGGATGTCGCCCAAAACAAATCGCTTTAACTGTGGTGGATAGGCAGGCAGGCAGCTTTACCTCCGATTTTTTATTCGGCACTTTAGGAGTGAACCCGCTTGCGAGTGCCGTCGTCCTCCTACAGTCCACAGACTGAACAGCTTTGCAAGCTGACTGATTTTCACATGTTCAACTCCAGTCGCTTGCGCATTAATCGATCACATGCGAGCTTTGTGACACACTGAGCTCTTGAATAAGACGCATGTAGGGCCTTCTTCTAAAAATGTCTGGTAAGGGTTAGACATTTTCCATCATCTAAAACGAAAATTATAACTTTTGAGAAAAGTTGGTCTTGCAATCCCAGTCTTGCTTCTCCATGGACTCTCTGAAGATCAGCTAGTTGGCCATATTTGAACTGATAGGTACTGAAGTTCGGTATCAATGCGGTGAGTTGCAGTAAAGCTGGTGATGAATCAAGGAGCTTTCGATTCCATACATCTTTGCCATCTGAAGAACCCTTGATCCGGTCCTACAAGGGCGTACTCTATTTCTCACGCTGACACAGTAGATGAAGTCGATTGAGGATTCAGATAAGATTCAGCTGCACCATTCAATATCTGATGACAAAATAGTAGCACTGTATACTGAGATTTTTCTGTTCACTCACTGGCGGTGATTGCTCTTGATACCTTCTAGATGTCTGTGAAGTGCTGTACCGTACTTCGATATTTCAGTGTTAAACTCCTAGTCGATCTGTTGGTCCGTTACGACAGTGCTCCTCAGATGGCGGAAATCTGAGCAACGCGCTATTCGAATAGCGTCCACTCTTATGTTCCGTAGACTTCGTTAACTCGCTCCGCCTAGATAGGTTGATAGGAAGCAAACAATAGTTGTGTTAAAGCTAGATAAGGATTTTGTGGGCAGAGAAACCAACTGCTCTACAAACTCCTCCGTATTTGCTGAGCACCGTTCACTCAATACTGTAGCTGGCGGTATTCCTAAGTACTTGTTGCCGTTGGTCAGATGGCAGTTGGTGTATTTGCCGGGCTTGGCAACTGTTCTGTTTTCCGAACTTGACAAATCTCTGTTCTCCTAGCTTGGCAACTGACCTGTGCACGTTTCATCAGCATGTGAGGGAACACCGTCACTGTCCGGTCACTTCTCCTTGACTTTGTATAGTTTTCAAAGGGTAATGAGTAGTGATTGTTTGTTTGGTGACTAGCTAATGCATAATCTGACCGACCCCGAATCCCGAAAATGTGGCTAAATTACACTCTAGCCTTTTTTGTGAACAAGCAGTCAATAGTCACTACTCTTAACTAACTATATGAGGGCAAGCAGAAGTGAAGGAATTACTCAGGCAATCCCCACACTGACGATATCCACCGAATGCTTACGAACGTCTATCTTCCAAGCCCAAAGGACACATCAACTACCATGTTGTCAAGGCTCACAACTGCACTTTTAGAGAGAAGACACGACCGAGCACTACCAGGGTGATGAAAGGCAGCAGTTTCCATGTCCACGGGCTTCGTACCATTACAAGCGGTTTCTTTACAAATATTCGGTGTAATTATGACGTTACCGATAGAGGCCGTGTAATAATGCGACAGGTATGATGGTATTTGTTGCCATGTTGTCGCGAGCATCAAAACCAAAGGAACAACTGGCATTAGGAACAAGAGTTGAGTTTGGGATATGAGGTGATTAATCGGTGAAGATAAATCGAACGACACAAAATAAATTGCAACTCCACACAATACTAACAACTTCTTTGGTCAGAAAATACAAGAGGTGAAAAAATTCCAACCATCCTGAAAACCTCTAAAAATAACAGTGAACTTTCTCATAGGAAACCAAAAACCTATTTACTGATGGCCATTGAATTTCCTACGGCGAGTATTCCCCGAAAGAATCGCGTAATTCGGTAGTCCACGTGATGGGGGCGATATCATGCACAAGAAACGCAACAAAATTGGTCGTCAGCGTCTGTCTGAATGGCGTTCATAAATCCAAACGCGACTACATACCAAAGTTCACATCACAAGCAATCTGCAATAATGTGAATCAGTGACAAATTAAGCAGAAGGCTGTAGCATTTATCCTTAATTTAATCGCCACAGACCGAAGTCATTCGAAATTGAAGGGTAAAAGACACAGTAACAACAATCTGAATACACCGAACAACATATTGCTCGGTGGAGTGAGATAGTTTGATATCACTTAGAGGGTAGTTAGACAGCTTGATACAACAGTAATGCATGCATATTGGGTTGCTATGTTCGTATCGAAACGGTTTTACAGAAAGCTAGCAGGTTTTGATTACGACTGTGTAAGTGAATCATGAAGGCATGTGCAACGTAAGCCGGTGAACTGTTGGGTAGTCAGTGACCTCAAGATCGATCATTGCGTCGCACGGCTCGTAGCAGCTGACTTGGAAGGTGTTTCGAGGTCCTTTGAGAGAAACGTTGATCGGTTCAGCCGATTTATGTTTCATCACAGTTGCAAGTCAATTTATAGATAACATTTGAGGCGATGGTATGCACTGTTACTATGTCCGTTACGTACAGATTTCGAATAGTTTATGTCTGATACTGCTGAAAGTACTCTGGAATGTTAACAGCCCGCATCTTATATCTTCTGACTGTTTTGACGGAGTAGATCGAAGGCATCTGGTATGTTACATGCATGCACTGCGGGGCCGAACCTGTAGGAAGAACTTTCTCTAGAAGTGTGTAACACAAGGTGAGGTCGAAGTGGATGCGTGATTGAAGAACTCACATTCGAACGTACGTAAACCTAGAAACTTCTTGAATCCTTTTCAAGCAGCACCTCAAAGGATTTGACATTCACGCATCAAGGTTCCATTTGGAAATTTTCCTGAATTTATATGGTTGCATAAACTAGAAAGGTGGCTTCAATCAGAGTTTTTTGTTACAGAAAGTGGCTTCAGACCCCACAATTTCGTTTATCCACTTTGACAGTCTGTCTAACTGTTTTAGATGCGTAAAATTGACTTGTACCTGCAATCAGATGCCCAAAAAATCATACTAGAACATAATAATGTCCACAGCTTAATCTCAGACACAAGAGTAACAGAACCCCATTCTGGTACTTCACTCAGTAGGAATAGGCTAGTTTTTAACTCCGCACAACTCGCTAAGCAAAATAACTCTTACACACCACAGACAAACCCATCGATACATCGTTCGTGCTTACTTTGGCATCCACTCATCTCTGATAGCCAAAACTGATCCTAATTACACGACTACCTTAAGTCTGCCACTCCGCTTTGACGTCAGAACGCACATTTGGCAGCTGACGAAACGAAGTGAAGATAAATGGATTAGGAGATAAATTGCACCCATCACATAAAAGAAAAATGCAACCACAAAACCATGGCAATTTCAAAGTAGCCCTGTGGCCTTTATGACTGCATAGGACGGAATTGAATCGAATAATCAATATTACTTCAGATATGCTTAGTCCACGTGGGTGAGAGCTCCATGCTACGACCTTGAATAAAGAGAACGACTGTAATAACTGATCGTTGCGTTTACCAGCTTGACCACGGTTCTCCTTATACTTACATTAGAGGAGTTGACGAACAAAGGTTAACCGATCAAATAAACTCATGGTATTCTGGGTGACCCTAATATAACTTCTAGCAAACTGAACGCCAGGGCACTGATCTAAGCAAGTCTGCTCTCAAAAAGACTAATGGTCTAAGTTTACTGTTGCTTCAAGTTCACAGCTCGAAGCAGTTGACCACAGAGAATGAAATTCTCTGAACCAATACCGGTGAGTATATTCAAAAAACATTCGAAGTCCAGAAATATTCGAGGACCTTTCTATGTTGATTTGATTGATTTTTCCCGTTATGTTATAATTCCGTAGAAGCTATGTAGCTTGCTCTATGTTACTTAGTATCCCACTTATTTGGCCAGTTGTGACTCTTCAGAATTAATCCTCCTCTTAGTCTTCTTCTTATTGCCCTTTCTAAACATATTCGGGGATCACAATTCAACAAACTCAACATCCGCAGATTTCTACCTCTCTTATGATACTGCACACCTAATGACAAGTATTCTCGCATAATTTCCTGATAATAAATAAATAAACTCACAACTTCTGGCAGCCACTTTCGTTAACCATACTTTTCAAACAACATTGTCATACCTCGCGGCAAATTACTGAGTTGTCCTTGACATTGTATAACTCGATGGTTTCCTCAGAAAGCTGGGTGCCTTCATTTTTCGGGGCGTTTGGTCATTCTAAAACGTTCAGTTTTATCTACCTTCTGGAAAGAACAATCTTCCTCGCCACCGATATTCCGACCAATGTGTTCTTTTCTTTCCTTGAAACTCTGCTCACAGATACCAATCTCAAAGTCAGTGTCACAATCATAAATAGCGGTGCGGAAATTGTTGGCTTGAGAAGACTTCGCGAAGTTCCTCATGGTGGTGTAGTGCTGTTCAACAACACTCAGTTGTGCTACATACAGACACTTCCATGGGTGGTCCAGAGTAAGTGAGAAAAGTCAAGTGCCGTTTCTAAGTGTTTTTATAGTGCCTATCCATTCTGTACCCTTCTGGTTGTTGGGAAGCGTTCTAATAAGCTTGGAAAACATTCACAAAACAGGCTCGCATATTCTAAGTTATTGAAAGATGCAAAATACGGTTCAAGAGTCAAGAACAAAGGGCTTTCACTCTAGAAATACACTATTTGAGATTACCATATGATCCCGTCTGGATAAGAACAGACACCCGTTTTCTAAGTTTTCTTTTGAGGGCTGAGAGGTTACTGCTAGTTGATGATCGAAGTGACGAAATAAATAGTTGATATCCGTTTACAACAGTATCAGTGCGGGAGCAGCTTACCGGTTTGTATCATCCCTTTTTACCAGTTTGTTATTGGTCCCTGACATGATGAAAGATATTATCTCCGAAGGCCTCTCGACCGCGAACGGAAATGACCTAAGCACCAGAATACTACAACGGCAAGCCACACTGTTGGTTTAGTGAGGACATCTGAAATATTTCGTTCTATATGTTGAGCAAACGTGTGCTGAAAATCCGAGAAGCACCGTGTGTGGCGCCATATCCTGTGCGATTTAATCACATCGCCAATCAGTCGCTCATAGCCGAACTGTTAACTCTCTAGTTGGTGGGAGGTCGCGAGTTTGTGACTCCATGAAATCACAAGAGAAACGCACAGTTGTTGATTCCCACAGGTTTTCAGTATAGACTTGCTTTGCTTACATGACCAGATCTCCATAAAAGAGGACCAAACTGTTCTATAGTTTATTTCGTAGCTCCATGACAGCAGCATTTTGGTCCTGGAATATTCACCTCGTTTGGAATAAACTAACGACCAAAGTAACGCAATTGAGTACAGCTTCAACTTCAATGGTACTCGTGTCCTCGAGTCAGGATTCAAGTGACACATGGAACGGGCGTGTGCTGAAATATTAGGGACTGACACGCAATTGAGCTGCATCAACCGTAGTGATGGTTTCAGCTTTTCATCCATCGGACCTGGAATCACTACACGCCGTAGTAGGCAGAGTAGTCAGGCTGTAAGCCGGAACCTCAATAATGACGCATCACAGCTAACACACCAACAGACAGAGACACATCGTCATCAAAGTACACAGCATGCGTACACATGGAGAGCTAACAGACACCCACACATACTAATCGCACTGACTGCTAGAAACCTTAATCAGAAGACAAGATAGCTCACCCAAAGATGCTGCACATGATTTGTATTCATTGGTGGGAATCCTCAGCAGAGTTTGCCCGAAGCAACCGAAACTTCGGATCATAATATCTTTCTCCACTAAGCTGTATTAAACTTAGAAGTTCTGGTAAATTTAATTAGGGATTTCAAGTCAAACCGTAAATTCACTTTGCACCTTTGTCAATATATACCATAAAATCATGAGAAAGGTTGTTTGTTCTTGCACATTTCGGTCAAACGGTTGGTGGAATTCAAACAAACTTACGTTCATCAGCTGGAAAAAGGAAGTGGAATTCACCTTGTAGTGCCCAGTTCATTTGGTCGATTCATTTGGATACGTACCACATATTGTGGCAAAGGTGTCATAGGAAAACTTGTGCCGGATAGCAAACGAGGTCGAATATATTCAGAGAAATCGCAGTCTGTCTATTGGTCCCCGAATATCCCTAATATTCAACTTTGCAGACGAACCTCTTGAAGTGGAATACAAATTTGGTCTGACGGCTTCTACAACAGCTGTTATCTCAGTGCATCTTCCCTTAAAGGTGTAACTCCGTTTTGAAATGTTGTCCTATTCAATTATTCATAATCACCTTGCGCCGCTTAATAAAACCGTACATTTGAAATAAGTAAAAACTACTACCGTAACCGGTAAGATATTGTGTGTAACTAATTTTTTGGCAGATAACGGCCCAGAAAATTTTGAGCCTCCTGATCTATCAAGGATCACTGGAACTATGCATATCGCTGTTCACGAAAGTCCTGATTTGGAGACGTGTAGTAAGTTGAACTGCTTCTCTCTAATGTTCTCCATTTCTCTCACTCCGACACAAGTTTTATTTTAAATGAAATTTTATCCTATTATGTACAATGTACATGCGGTGGCGGTGAAATGACATACGCAAGCCCACCTCCCACATCTGATGGAAACAATGAACCGCGTCCTTTGCCCTATCTGTTCCCAGGTTTCTTATCGCATGAAAACAATCCTCTTTTTAATACCGGCTTCCTGTAACTTGGTTTCTCACAAGCCACAAATCACTTTTAAGTTTCCTGAGTTTTCGGGCATTATATGTAATGAGGAATTAACAACCAACTCGTTTACGGCAAACCAAAAATGGTAACGACGGTAGAAGCCCTTCTACAGGCTAAGAGTTCAACCTTCAGTGTGACAACTGACACCGACTTTTTTATAGCTCTTTTTAACCCCAGATATTTCAAGATCTTCAAACCACAAGATGCTGGTTTCGCCAAAGTATATCCGAATCTCCCAATTCAGTCCATCTAAAAATTTGGTATTTTCACATTCGAGGACGGGCATTGTCATTTGCAGGCACCCAGTTATTTGTTTAATGTGTCAGTTCGCTCATCGATCACATTTCAAGATAGTCCGTTTGTTTAAGTCCTACGGAACACAAATATTGCGTGATCAGCTCAAAGTATTTTTTCTGGTGCTATTTCCTTGAATTAAAAATCAGTTCACGAATGATGCCCAAATTGACGATATTGCAAGTAGCATTCCACAGTCTTGTTCCGCAAAATACCTACGGCAGCACACATTGATATATAGTGTACATTCAGCATATTTCTATCACTTACGTAGGTATTTTGATCACTTAAACTTCTGCGAAAGCAGATCCACCCCTGGTGCATACAAGTGCTTAGAATCAGAGGAATGTGTAAATATGGCTAGTTCTCTGTAGGAAGTGTATACCGGGTGCGATTAGTGTACCTACTTTTTCCACAACTGCTACTCAGAGCTTTTACGCTATAAATTATTTCAACATGTCAATAACTGACTACCTGTATGGTATCCAAGATGATTAGTCGAAGTGATCAGACTCCTATTTCTCGACTCATTTTCCTGGGAAAATAAAAACTGGTTTGGGTAACTTGAAGTTCTGTTGACTGATCAGCATGCTCATTTTTCTAAACACCGGAAATAGTTTACCTTTCGTCTGCTGTCTAACCAAATAGTTTCTAAAACCACCAAACGCGTCGAAAATGCATCGACCAAGTAGATGCTTCTACATCTGCATGTGTCTGATAAATCCACCAATGGGTGTTGAAAGCTTGGGAGTCCGTCAACCATCCGGTCACTTGCTCTTGTATTCTCATCCGCAGCAAATTACTGGTGCCAATAGAGGCCGACATTGTTGGGAACATTCGTGATACAGTCAGACCAGGGAAAACTCAGCCACATGAGGCCCTTCATATTTACTGGGACGTGTGATGTAGGCGTTGAGGAGCAGATTAATCGAGCCTTTGGTTAGGAGTTCCATACTGCTGCCTTTCAGTGTCTGGTTTACAATCCTGAAGAAGTTGTTTCTGCGTGTTACCAGGTTTCGACTTCCTCAGATAATCAAACTGCTCATTAGTAACCAAACCGCTGAAATAAAGCAAAAAGCTCCTCAGATCAAAAAGTACACTCAAGTTTCAGCCAACATTACACAACGTGTATTGGTGTCGCTCATCACCATTTTCGCTAATGTCGATTCCTTACTTGGATAGAAGACAACACGCTTTTGTATAGTTTAACCGACGTGAGCGCGAATATCCCGGGTTGCAAATTAAAAACCGTCCTTCAAGCATTCTAAGAAAAACTGTACGGCATTCGACGCAAACGAAGTTGAAACGATTGGGCGTTGTGTGCGAAATCTAGGTGAGGTGGATTACAATCGAGTAGAATAACGAGATTTGTATCAAGGCCGTTTCACCATGGCAGCGAACCTTCAAAATAATCACCTTACGTAACGGATTGGAAACCGTCAACAATATCTAACTGCTGGTCATACAAAAAGGTACAACCGAAGCTGTCGTTGATTCGCGTGCAGTACGTAGCTTTTTTTAAGAGATAAGCTTGAAAAGAATGCTGTTTTTATGGAATGGTGCGGTAACGTTCACCCCATGTGGGATAAACTAGTTCGAATTCTTCCACCTTATCAGTGGTCACCACGGGAGACGTGCAACATCTTTAAATAAATTGAATACTCCCTATGCATGAGTCAAAGTTTTAAATTACTAAATACTAGGGTTACGACGTCGATAATGTTAGCGACATTTCGCTATTACTTGATAAATTCTTACCAGGCATTTCCGGAGTGCTTGCTTTATTTTGGCTTGCGGAAACCGTTCATTCCTTTACGCATAACCCATACTCCTCACATCTGCACCTCACAAGGCACACCTTAGATAACCTAGAAAATTTGTGTCTGCGAAGATTCGCTAAACCAACAAATTTCTGAAGACTTGTTTGCGGCTAATGTCGTTGTAACGTAACGCATTTAATGTTTGTTAGTTTTCAGCTATGTAGAAGAGTTTATTCTAACATTCAAGTAGCAAACCAACTGGACAGAATGTTGATGGTGAAATCGCCAGTGTTATTTCAGTGATATCGAGTGTCGCCGATATCTCATACGTATTTTGTTGGCACTACCATATCAATTACTAGAAAGTCTGGGACGGGCTAACCACGCGGCATGAACAGCTCTAACCATAAATAGATTAACTTATAACTGAGTTATGAATAATTGGTGAGAGCATTTGGAATGCAGTGCAGCAGAATTTTTCTCGGTATTCAAATGGTTATAGACACATCTTTCTGTAAGTGACAAGGAAAACTCTGAGAATTGTGGTTTCGTGCAATCCGTAAATTAGGGGATTTGCATTACTTCCTACATGATTATGTGGCAGGACCTTGCAGGCTATTGTCTCCTAATTTTTGGCCAAACAACCTGTGTTTTAAGTTCTATATATGAGGCCAGTACCAAAAAGGAATTAGAGCGATAACAGGGCTAGCTTAAGTTATATCATTTAGCTTTTATGCTATAGAATTGCGATCTTTAATAAGTCGATCACAACTCCCTGGGAATCTCCTCATTCGCGATAGGCCCTAAAATGTAATCTTGATTATTTGCGAGGTGTTATTGTGTTTGTTACTCAAAAGTGTGTATAACTGTTTACTCTCATACGAACTTTTCAAACATATCCTCAAAAATACCAAGTAAACGGGTTTGTGCTAATTTTATTTCTTTATAGCGAAGAGGGGAGCAATATGTCACACATCCTGTGATCCCCGATATGGTTGCTGGGGACCAGGCATGGATCAGTGTGTGCGATGTCTATACTATAGAGCAGGCGAACAAAACTGCGTTAAATCTTGTGACGAACTACCTGGATTCATGTACCACCCCCTGGGAGTTCGGCTGAAACAGTATCATTCAGACGTGGAAATTCGTAGGGAAACGGAAAATCGACCGGCCGAGTCGTACCTGAGGAGGAAGTCAGAAATAGAGCACTCTTTTTCAATGGGACTGCCAGACTCTGATCATATTTGTCCACCATGCCATCCAGAATGTGCACACACTTGTTCAGGACCGGGGCCAGATGAGTGTATTGGGGATTGCAAAATTGCTTGGGTAAGCATACATATTGTTCAGTGCTAGCCTAAGTGTCCAAGGTAACCGAAATTCTCGTGTATTTTTTTGAATACTTACACGATGTTTACGCATTGTAAATAGACCGGAGACTAAAAATTTCGTTACGAAAATTTCGAAGTCGTGTTTTACTAAATTACAACGGAACGACTATTATTCCCTTTCAAAGGGTCGTGATTTTTGCATCGATTTCAGTATCAGTTACATGAAATATTTGTAAAAGAAATTCGAATAAGCAAGTCATTCACGGAATGAGCGCCTTTCAGACACGTCGGACAGATCAAGAAACACCTTGCTGGTTGGATCGTTCCACTTTCTGGCATAGAGAGTACAAATACCTCCCGGGATATCCAGTAATAACTGATCACCACAGTGAAAAGCCATGCAGTTTTCCAAGCTTTACTGTCAAACATATTTGATTTGTAGAGCTTCACTGCGCTGAAACCTGGATCATTGTGCGATCCAGCCAAAAGGCTGAGTTCTGTTAATTCCTCTGACAGTTTTCATAACACAATATATGGTAGTTCAACATGCGCGAGGATAGATTTATGTTGTTCCACAGATGTCCGATACAAATCTTCTACGAATTTACCAGTTGTTTATATTTGGAAGGCAAACCCCGCCTTCTGTATAATTTAGCATTCGATTGGTTTGCAAATTCCAGCCAAAAGGCTGAGTTCTGTTAATTCCTCTGACAGTTTTCATAACACAATATATGGTAGTTCAACATGCGCGAGGATAGATTTATGTTGTTCCACAGATGTCCGATACAAATCTTCTACGAATTTACCAGTTGTTTATATTTGGAAGGCAAACCCCGCCTTCTGTATAATTTAGCATTCGATTGTGTTTGCAAATTCAAACGCTAAGTCTTATGCTTCCGTTCCTAAGCCTTGGAAGTTTGTTTTCCATCGCTGTCATAACTTATCTGGATTAATCTTTTTGTGAACCTAACAACAAACAAAACAGATCTGATTTCTATGGGCATAATGTTGAATTTGCTACATTCTGGAGCCCAAGTAGGCCAGATATTGCTAAACCACTCCTGTCCACAAGATAACATCATACCACTAAAAAGCATGGTTCCGACACTAGTTTCCCTGCGTTTTATGCCCCCTCTCCATCCAACTATTCCCTCATCCAGCAGAACTTTCGGAATTCGGTGTTGTCTGATTTATGCAACCATTACTAACAAGTCCTCTACTTTACTACATGTGCGGATAGGAGGGGAAATCGTACGATTGGTAAAGACGAAGTCAAGCCCTCACGTTTGAAACTGCAGAAACACGAACAAAGTGAGATAAAGCAAAGCCACCGGTCCTTCATTGCCAAAGGACTTCGACTAACTAACATCTGATATAGATTTGCGGGCCAAGCCTATAGGATGAGCCCCAGGAAGAGCATCGATATTAGACTGTCCGGATTTTCGATGTTATCACTTCATTATCATCTTTGATGGCACAGACTTGGTGCTCAACACCAAGACATCACTGACTTGCCACTGTAGTTTAATTGAAAGACTTGCCATGAAAAAAAATAAAAGTTTATTGGAAAGGGACCTAGCGCATGCCCACTACAATGACCAACACACTGAGTAACACTGGAATAATAATCTCTTTTGTTAACTAGTTGCATTTCCCTGGAAAAACTCCTGAATGACAGCGAGCGGCTAGGCACAAAGGGATAGAACGCCCCCGCTCTTCTGAAGCCGTTTGAACGAGTGCCCCTGAATTTTCTGTAAATTCCAGGAATATTGAAAAACTCCCATTTCGAAGCGTCTGATGACATGTAGCCAGAAGATGTATGCCACCGGTGTTTTTAACTCCCCAGCTCAAAACAAACATAAGGAGAGGAGACACATGCATTCAGCGTTCTTTTGCCCATTCTAAGTAATAGATATCTTGATTTTTAATTGATACTTCTTACATGGTCGCAGAGTGTGATAACTGAAAAAGATGTATGATGTAACTCCAGTCTTGCCTTATGTACCCGCAGATTCTTTGATACACGAAACAGAGTTACGCAACTAACAAACAGCTTAGGTCTTCCAAGAACAATCCAATGAATGTAAACAGCTTGATCACAGTTGCTTTGCATAAGGCATTTCGAGGCTAGTAAACTAAAATTTTAAGTACGTCACAGCTGAAGGAATTGCACCACGCTTGTCAGTGAGTAGTAGAACTACGAATGCCCACCTACTTTTTGTAAATAAAGGATCTCCGCCAGTTAAATGCAGAGCCACGATAATTCCGGAGGCTGAATCCGAAATAATTTGCCTCTTGATGACTTGCCAACTAATTTTTCATGCCTAACACAGGCCATGGTTGTTGAATTTTTTTCCGACGTGTTGCAAATGCTTCTATTAAGCGCGAGATATGGCACAAATGAGTACACTATGACCAGTCTAGCTGTTGAAATTCCTCAGCGAAATATACTACTGGTAAGTAGGCAATGTCCGATGTAGTAGTCCCGTTCTCTCCGTTGGTTTGTTTGCTTCAATTTTTCGTGCATAAGCATGCTATGCGATGAACACTAAAACCAGTGTTGAACTTGTTATTTAACTCTCAGAAAGGTATTCCTATAATTTTTACCAGTCAGCAAAATGTTCTCACCTGTCAACATACTAAGCAAACAGAGTTAAGAAACCTTTAATCCCTCTGTAAAAGGAATACCTTCCGAGAACAAGAAGGCATTGTATTGCATTTGAGCCAGAATTCAAACTAATCTCTAAGCATTCATCTCCATACCTCAGGCAGGCGGACAGTGTGTCTCACAGTGTGATCAGTTTCACTATTTGAATGGGGAGAGGAGAATTTGCGAACCATGCCAAATACACTGCCATCAACGCAGGTTTACAAACCAACCGGTGTGTACGGGACCGGGTAGACATCCAGGTCCCGGCGGATGCAATAAATGTGAAAAAGTGATTGTCACCAATCCGTCGAAAACGGACTCTCAGTTCGGTAAGTAATCCATGCGTCATCTAGATGACTGAAGTTTGGTGGCATCCAGTGGTTCCTTATCTCATCCAGAACAATAAGTGACACAAAATACCCTTCCTTGTTCATTTACAGCACACCCGGTTTGTCAAATCGGAGTCACAAGTTAGGAGTTTGCCAACAATAGCTCCAATAAAATGTCACTATGTGCTTTCCAACCCATTTTAGACGAAGAATTTCTACCAACAAATGGGATTTTTTGAAGGGTCCTAGCTGTATCTCGTATGGTTCAGAACATTGCAAAGTGAGAGTAACTAGGCGGTGTTCCTCCTGTTATGCGAGAGGAACCAGTTGCAGAATCTTTTGGTAATCCTGGGTCACCCATTAATTCATGAACACAGTTGTTCAGTTATCCATTGAGTAATGCCATGAACAGCTCATTCAATTATTCTCAGACTGCCAGCTGACCAAATTCTGCGGCAGCATCCGACAGCCCTTATTCTACTCCCAATTTGACAAGATATTTACGTGTTGTCATCATTTTTACCGTCAGTATCAGGCTTTGTGAAGAGGGATCCCATACGAGACGGTTTCAAAACCACCTCAGAGCACGCGTTCGCCATTTCACACGGTAATCATCCCTGGAAAAGCAATGGGAAAGAGAGATATGTCCTTTTTTCCGCAATCACTTTTTTCGTTGATTTCTTGGCTCCTAATGATTCAGCCCGTATTCTAACATTCAGATATAAATGCATGATTATTGTGACAATCCATCTCCTTGGAGAGTCCCGTGAGTCAGGAATAGAATAAATAACACAAGACTGAAATCGCAGGTTTTCAGATTTCAACGTGTTTATTGAAAAACGTGAAGATTTTTGGAAAGATTTAGCCGGACACGATGGGTCGCACTTGGAATCTAATCGAAGCTCTCATATGGTGAAGTCGCTGCTAGTGCAGGATGCGAATTGCCACCGAGTCATCACCACACCTTACGAGTCACATTCATATAGCTTTCATTTGAATGGTGATTCTCCTATCCTAGCGCACTTATTCTGGTTAGTCTACACTGAATGGAAAAAGTATTGGACTCGAGTTTCGGACGTATTAGAGCTCTTCAGCGTGTTGCTACTATTACACCGGCGCACGCTATACTCCCCTGGATTATCAGGACTTAACAGCCAAACCCATTCACACTTCTTTCAAGCACACTGATCATGTCTGCCTCCTAGCGTGCTGAAACCTGACCGATGTTTTGTCAAAGGTCCGCTAAATTCGTATACGCGTTGGTGGTAACACATAACAGTCTGCCCGGAAATGTTCTCCTCTTTGACGGACCAACCTGTGTGCATAAAACAATGAACGAATTAGACTTTGTAAATTTGAAGTAGTATTTCTTATCTTGAGTGGGTGAGCATTCTGTCTGAAGAAGGATTTAAGTGCCAATACGTCACTTACGGGGTTCGTCTACCTTATTGTATGACGTGAATTCGACATCTGCCATTTTAAGCTTTAAGGCCAGGTTTGAATATTCAGCGAAATATTGAGGCAAACAATATGTATACTAAGCAGTTCAATCCGGATTGTCTTTGTTTTCAACTAGATAAACGTGTTCTTGTGCATTCTCAAATCCCGGTTTCCCTCGCAAATGTTGAAATTGTTACGTAACATAAGAGTGTTTTTGTGAATGCCCACCATTTTACCATTGCATTACCTCCATGTAAGTTTGACGAGTCTATATTCAACCGAATTAGGATGCCTGAATAGGATTCATCCAATCACAGGAAAACCTCCCTTTGCGCCGAACAAGTGTGGAAAGATTAGAAGAATTCCAACGTTTAAAACTTTTCAGTGGATCGACAATGTGTCTTAAAACTTCAAACATTCCAAAACCACCGGAATATTTAAACCTCAGGACGGAACATGTTCCGATTTACATCGGCACATTTTGACAGTTACATAATGAGGTCTCACAAAAAACACCGGTGCTTTTTCTCATGTAAAAAAGGCCTAGTTCGCCTGTCTGATACCAACGTTAACTAGTTCGTGGTGCTACGTTCTTCAGAAAATCTGCACCCCGCTGTATTGCTTGTGGTGCTCCCTTTCAGTAGTAATGATTTGTCATTTTCGTTCATATTTCAACAGATGCACAATCACGCATGTCACTGAAACTGGTCTGTTTACGCGGAGACTGTCCACCGGGAACCTATTTAACCACTGAAGTTATTCATCCCAACTCTAGCTTTGCCCATATTGCCGAGACCTTTACAAATGTGCTCCCAGTCTGTCGACATTGTCATCCACTCTGTTCAGAGTGCACTGCTCATAGTCTTGTTGAAGCCGGTCCGGATAGGATGGGATGTGTTGTCTGTTCAGGCGTGTGGTTCCGAGGAACCTGTATGGAACAGTGTCCCATAAGTAAGTTCCAAGAATATGTTCCCAGATGGAATAGGTTCACTCATTTTCGCCTTTACTAATGAAGGCCGCCATGTAGGGACGGGAGTTATTTTCCGCCCACCTTTACTTCATGAGAATAAAGCAAACATGATTTTCTTCACCTCAGCATCACACTGAATCACCATAAATACACACGTAACACTGTCCACACTCCTGATGACCAGTTGTAAGGTTTTAATCAGCGGCATCTCCAACAACGAACAGGGGGATCTGATACGAGAAGGTGCATTCCAGGCTGCAGTCGAGTTCACTAGATATCCCGAAAGGGTTTTTAGTGAAACGTGAAACGAACTATGCAGCGCTTTGTCCTTATGAGTTGTGATCATGTAATCGTTCTTGGTCTCCCAGAAGGCGGTGAATAAAGCGTTATCCCTGTTGACCATAACCGTGAAATTTTGGAAGAGCAACGCCTGCGTCTTGCATCCAGAATCTGTCATCATTCTCTTGTAGGATTCCGCTTAGTGAGAGAAGTTCGTAGTGTCATTTCATGAATGTTGTTTTCGACCTCGTATTGCATAATTTGCTGTCAAATGTCAAGGTAAATCACCATTAGAGAAAGTTGACCGGGTGTCTTTATTTATGTCCTCATCCTTACTCAACGGTTGCTCCTGGAGGAATTTGACTAAATCCACCAATTATCGGAGGGATAGTCGCGCTCTAGCCGAGATTTTACACCATAACTCAACGAGAATACGGGCTAGCGCTTAGTTGAAACCTGGTGTCCACTCAGACAAATTCAACCAAGTGCCATCACCTCTAAGCTGTAGCGTTCCGGTATGACATGCTTCATTAGCCAACTTTTACACTTATTTATTTCTCTGTGAAGTAGAGTTACTGCTGATCCTCCCCTAATTGGTCATTTAAACAGTTCTCTTCCGCGAGCTAGGATAATTTACAATTGAATTAAGCTGCAAACAAAGATGGTTCTTTCTAACTGACTGTTCCTGTGTACAGTTTCTACAGAGTAGAAGAATTGTGTCAAGCATGCAAACTGGTTTACAGTACGCTTACCTCTACCATAGACATTCATTCCAATCGTCATACTGTTGAACCATTAACCTTAACCAACTTCTATTGCCAGAGGAGACATACACGATTGATCAAACTGTTTATCCAAAGGATCCCAAAGTCGGAGAAACAGGTTTCACTGGAACCATTCAAGCTCGACAACTGGCCGGTCGATGTTTGGCCTGCCACAGTGCGTGTCACATGGGTTGCTGGGGTCCGGAGGCGAGTCAATGCAACCACTGTCTCTACGTTCGAGTTCATCTCAGTATTGTTCCTGAGGTAATCCGCCAAAAAGAAGACCGATTAGAAGCACTGTTTTGGAGTGTGACTAAACAAAAGGTGGGCCCGTAAGATTTCAGTTTACTTTTTTCCTTGAATTTATCTTCTTTTACCTTGCATTTAATATAACGGATGCCAATCCCTCTGTTGCGTGCTCACTAAAATCTTGCGTTGGGCAATTCGAAATAATCCCAGCATGTTGTCAAATTTACACCATGAGAAGCGAACGTGTAGTCATGCAGGACCAGGCTCCTCTTGAATGGAACGAAATCACATTTTACATCATTTCCGTTGAACTTTCGACTTTCCCCTCTGTTTCATCCTACAGATTAGCAATACAGCCTTTCCTGTTAGAGAATATTTACTTCAACAAGGAACGAATCGCCTCATGATACCATATTGAGCGTATGGACGATTTAGTCGCTGATATCTATGGAATCCTGGTTCACCGCTGCAGACCATTGACTTCATTGGAGCATATTGATTTAGGAATTCAGAAAACTTGAAAACAGTTCTCCGAAAACCATGGAAATAAGGTGATCATCACAATAAAATGCCTCACTCGTTTCAAAACGGAGAGATGCGGCAGGAAGAGATAACCTCTACAATAATTTAGTGCTAGTAGTGAAATTAATCACACAACAGCTTTTGTGTTTTGCTCTTTCGTGGATTTTTTCTCATGTGTAATGGTTGATTCCCACGCTCCATATAAACCAGTTTTCACATACTTCCAAAACCTCATCCAGATATAATTTATCGCGATCCATTACACCGCCGAAGTGGGCTGCTAGTATCGAGCCTTCTCCAGCCACTGAAGCAACTGGACCTATCTCATTACTACAGCGCCGTTGATCACCAATTTCCTTCTGAGTTCAAACACAGCTGGGAAGTCCAATCGGTACTTGTGTAACACTTAGACATTGACCTGGTAGAAATAGACCTTCTCCAATAATCAGAATGAAGTGATAATAACTATGGGCATGAGAACACGATAGGCGTCAGTCTGACTCCTGACAAGATTCCCGTCCATCCAACGGCCTCAAAAACTTGGACACGTTGGAAAAAGTAGACTTTCGATAAGGTGTAGGCATCAAAGAGCACAGCCCGAAATTCATTCTGCATTGGAGTAGTAATTTATATAAACTCACAGAATTTCTTGCATAAACCTCAAGGATCTATTCGAATTCACCGGCTATCCGTTTTTCCAACAACGATAGATGCCCCAGAATTCCGTGGCCATAATTTGCTACCTCCTGGAATGTACAAGTGTATGCAGACCTCTTCAAAGGCTTCCCCAGAAAGCGATGCATTCAAGAATGCTATTTTTTAAAAATATCTTCAGTTTTGTTGTGTTGATCTCGAAAAAGCACATCAGTAGGTCTCTAGAGTCAAACTTACCAAGATACAATTCGCGCTCTTTTGCTGTTTAGTTTATGGATGATTTGAACGCTCCCCTCTCTGACTTCTCAAGACTTTTTTCTGATGATAGATTGAATCACTATTTCATAACCAGATAGTTGGACTACATGAGCAGTTACCGAGACAGATATATTAGATAGGTACAGAAGCTATCCACAACCATAAATTGCGCCATTCTCTACAGAAACAAGGCCTTTTTTCTGTCTCGTGCGGATTACAACGAAAGGCGTGGTGAACAACGATTTACTTTGCTGAAGGGTCGCACGGAGATAAGGAAAATCTTGGATGGTGTCAGTTCTCTTTATATTCCGCTGTTGATGCTGATGCTCGAGTCATCTAGGATGCGGACAATGAAAAGGATGATGATGATGATGATGATGAACACCGCTCAAGCCAACATATGAGAAAGATGTTATCCGCTACACAGCTATTCCCAGTGATGACTTACAACAACTAGCAGCTGCTCAGTTGCTCCTTTCAGTGACCCCCCTTTAAGAGAAAAATTAGAACACAAAATATCTATCTCCTTCGAGGAATTTTTTGAAAAGGGACCGTGATATTCCTGACCATGAGTCACTAAAAATTCCATTGGCGCAATCAGATTTGCTCACTTCATTATTCGTCTATTTACAAGTTTTATCAACCTCTTGACTTCTTCTGGACTAACTTTGACAAAGCCAATTGCCAGGACCTATTTACTCAGTGTAAATCCTTCGTTTCTGATTCAATGGCAAATTTCGGATCGACCTACCTCACTTCACTGTACAGTTGTCTTTCATCTGGAACGTTAGCATCAGCTGTAACCCATGTTTTTGGATCCGCCCAAAATACTGCTTCCTTGGGTGAGACTAGGAACGTAGTCTTCTTATGAAGACGAAAACAGTCTAGCATTTTTGAAGACTCCTCGTAGTCATGAGATAGAGTTAGAGCGATATTCCTTAACGAAGGTTCAATGGACATGAGGTATACTAAAGGCCTTGGCTGTTGTACTCATCAAAATACGCACAAAACACTAAAAGACGTCGTTATCGGATATCAAAACATTTTTCTCCATTGATGCTCTCTACCACTTTTCTAGTGGATGTGTCCTATGAAATAAAAGTTCAGGATTGCTCTATTCCGAGTGGAATCTACCGTAAATCTCTACTGACTTAGAAGAAACCTGCATGTCCCTTAATTCGGTTCATGTTGACCAGTGAAGCCCTCACAAACCTTCCATTTATTGTGAAATGACAGTTATCGTAGCATTATTTGTACATTTGACTGACGGAAAAGTTGACTTTCGATCACGCATCCTCTCTCGCCGGTTGCCGTGTATAGCAAAAGTTTCGCCAAAACTGGGTCATACGCTTCTAGCAATGGGATAATTTCTTTGGTGCAATTCTTTAGTTCAGGAGAGGCCATTTTATCCCCAGGTTTAACATGGTTCCAATTCTAATCCACCGTATGCTATGGATGGTCACCTTGGCTCGAACGTGGCTGCAAAAATGGTGTGACTGAGAAACTTTATACGATATACAGTCCATCATCATCACCATCGAATGCACGACATCAGTGTTCAACACCGATGCTTCACTGTCCAACAACCATGATTTATTTGAAAGCCTTATTGTAAAGAAAAGAATAAAGATGGAATGGAAAAGGACTAAGCGCTAGTTTGCCACAATCACTCTGAGGTGCCTACACCTCTATACATTCACTCAGGCACTCTGGATAGAAATTGACAACAAGAACGCCACTGACATCGGTTGACGTAACGTCTCCAACCAGGCATAGTAAAGATCACGCGGTCCCCATCCTAGAAAGCGAATAGCACCGACAGCACCCAAGCATTTTGTGATTTCCTCCATACTCCTCTGCCATGTCAAAAGTTGGCCACCACTCTGTTTACACCCCTATGAAGTGGGCATGGAAAACGGCACTCTTTGGCAAACGATGGCTCGGCATACGCAACACATGTCCCAAGAGTTCGAGAGAAATTGTTTGGAGTTTTCGGCATTGTTTGACTTCGTTCCCTAAACTACGAACCCATCGGAATTTCAAGACAATAATAAGAGTCTTTCGCACTACCGGGTACTTAACCTTTTCAGTCAGTATGAGTATCCTCTTACGTATCTTCTCACTGTGGAACCAGAGTGAGGCGTAAAACGTTCACACGTTATTTTGGGTAAATGTGCCATATATTATGAACACCTGGCATCAAAATGAATTTATTTCGACGTTTGGTGGTTAACTCAAGTCATTTAAGACCGAACGACAAGGAGGAACGTAATGGAAAGAGGCTAATATCAAGAAAGCAAAGAGTTCATGGGTTTGACCACTTTCAGCCTAATCACAGAATACCCTCATCACCTTTGGCAACAATTCACCGATTAATTCTTTTTAATGTCGTCAAGATGTAGGAGAGTCCTGGCGCAAACGGCACAAATATGACGCAGGATGAACCATAAATCAATTCATTTTTACTCCCAGTCTGTGAATTTACTTAAGTTTGTGACTGCTACGTGCTCTTGACTTGGAGAGAATTGTTGTACTCGTCTCAAAGTACCACAAAACATGTGTCGTAGACGTTCCAAAAAACACCACCATGGCGCGGTCCATTGCCAACTGACCATGAACCCCGTTAATCAAAGCGGAGCTCCTGAACCTGCTGGGTTTCATTGACATTCCTAACCACACATCATCCCTTCAGCTTACTACCATGGTGTGAACTTGTACCACTCCGTTTTCGAGAAAGTTTGGTGACAATCGGTAGATTTATTGCTGGGGAACGTTTCGCTTTTGACACAAGCTTCGTCGGGCCAAGTGACTAGGTTCCGAGGTTGGTCGAGATTTAAGGCGGAAGGAGAACCAACCAGCTAAGTCAAGCTAGATCTCTGTTGGGTGTCGGCCGAGGGACTGGGTGTGTTAGAGTGGTTGAACAAGGGTTGGGTCGTGGGGAAACCCTACATGTGTTTGGGTCCTGCCTAGGGTCTAGTTCTTCTGGTTCGGTTCATTTAATGGTTCCTCTTGAACTTCATTTGAACCTTCTGTTAGTCTGTGTGGGTGAGCTAGTGCTAAGAAAGTTGTGTAGGAGGGATGCTGTGACCTTTGGTCGGTTGGGGTTTCCACCCCTACCCCCCGGTTTTTTCTAATGATCCTAAGTGGATTGACAACCACACCGTCACGTGTCAACTCGGCTTATCTAAGACCGCTTTCCATACGCTCGCTAGCTCCACACCCTCGATTCTATTCACGCTGTGATGCTTAGTGATTTCCACCGCCTCGGCTATCAGCCGCTGTGGTGTGAATCGCAGTCCCCGTCTTAAGACTTCCACATTCTCCAGATCTATTCTATGTCCCGTGTCTAAGGCATCGTTGGGTCTTTGACCAGCGTTTGTTATTCTTCTGCATTCCTTGGTGGTTTGTTAATCCTTCTTTTATGCTCACCAATTCTGGCGTGCAATTCCCTGACAGTTTGTCCTTTATAAACCTTAGCGCAATGGTTGCAGCTAATTTTATACACACAGTCTCTAGTCCTTTCAACTAGCAGGGGATCTTCCAATTGCACTAAACCTGAGAGTAGCGTTTTTCCCTTCTGAAAAGCTACTCGAATATTGGCTAAGTTAAACGGTCTTCGAATAACCTCCGGCGTTCCTGCTTCATACTACTGCGTCTAGATATTGGGACCAGTATTTTCCTTATTTGACGCCTAATCAAACTCACTGGGTATTCTGTTTCTTGAAGTTTGTTGGCAATCTCTATTTGAGCTGCTGTTCGGTCGATCTCTTCTGTGCACAGCGCTCTAACTTGAGGAAACATCGGTGAGACAATACTGGCGTACATGGACTTTGGGTGTGCTGATGAATGGCTTAAGATGGTTTCTGTATCTGTTGGGTTCTGGTAGATGGTCGTTTTCGATTTCCCACCAATCTTATGTTATACAGTCCAGAAAGGGTAATATGCCCGTGGTGAAGATTGTATTGTTATCCATATTGTTACTTTATTATAATCTCAACTGGTGAACACATTGTTGTGCAAGGCTTGGCGCTTTAACATCAACAACTTTATCCACTACGTTCCAACCAATGATTATATGCCATTCAGGAGAAAATTATGCTCAAGTATTCCCAAGCTGTTTGCGATACAATAAGAGGTGTCAGGCTGCAGTACGTTTTCACTAGACCAGACAGTGCTGGTGGTTTTTGCTTTATTTTACTTGTCAGCATTTCGTTGGTATACAGCGCCTTTGCATTCATCTTTCTATCAAAGAGAGAAAAATCATCAGCCTTCATCACGATACAATTAAGCAAACTGATCTGTAAATTGTACACGTTTTCGTACAGGTGAAAACTTGGTTAACTCGACTTCAATTTGTTTCACCATTTTCTGAACGCATTTGGAATACTGCTCATTTTTTAAAAGGCATCTGGATGGAACCTGGCCGCGGAAGAACGCTTAGGACCTTTCATGTGCTCGACCACATGTCCCCACGGTCTCAACTATTCTGTCACAGATCCTTGGTCCGGTGACCGCCTTTGTTATACCAGCACAGAGTTGTCAAAGGCCGACTGGACGCGAATTATGCACGAAAATTCCGCGTTTCCCATTCCCGCTCAAGAAAACATAAAGATGACAAAGATGGCACAACCGGGAGGTTCCAAACATTCACATGTGGCCATAACCCTGTTTTGGATTGGACTGCTGGGATTGTGCATGCTGATCCCCGTGATTCTCTACTGCATTCATCGCGTTCGGCAGCCTAAGAAATTGAGAACTGCATTCACTGGTTTTAATTACTTTCTCCCCTTCTCCGACTGCCTCCCTATTCTTGGACAGAAAAACAATCGCCCATCTCTTCTATCAGACATGAGTGGCCCTCGCCCACATGGAAATCCGTGGAGAGGAGACCTGATGGAAATGTCACCGCTTTGTTCCGAACAGACTCCTGTAAGCAAAAGGGACGCCAGCACGACAGAGTCGAATGCAAACATACAAGTGAGTAATTTCTGCTAACTACATGTTTTCAAACTGCAAAAAGCCTCAGAATCGCGGCTCCAACGTTTCATGTGATATTTCGATGTGTTGGCCATATTGATCTTCATTTATGTTTTGGCGAAAGCCCTATTTTTTGGCTTAACATAGAAGCTAAAGCACTGACCATCCATTTCCATCAAAGGCTTTATCTTGGAGGGCATTTAGGATTCAATTGCCTTATATAAGGAATGAATTGGATTGGTAGTTTTACCATATGTGTCAAACGCTCTACGCTCTCTACTACAATTCGCTAGCAATTGACAACTCGTAACGCAGAGGTGAAAGTTCCTTCAAATGTACACGATCTTCCGCTTTTATCATCATAACAGGGTTGAGGAGATTGCTTACAGTTGGAGAAGGCTTAGTTTGTGCATAAGCAGTAGTTTTCATTAAACGGCCTGCTTCTGTCCTGTGGGTCATCCAGATGGAGGACTCCGGCCTTCAATCTGAGTCTTATCAAAGCTCGTCAGTAGTGCTTTCCCTTGAACAACCGTGTCACATACTAGGCAAATGTGTTATCACTTTTTCAATAGCTAGACTGGATTATCCTGAGGTATCGCATCTGAACGGGCAAGCACGCCTTTACCTAGGCGATGTGATCGGCTCATTCTACATTTAGAATAGTGAACAAGTAACGGTGCTTATTATGTCGATAGACTCCTTTGACTATCTGAACCTCCCAGTCAGGTGGCGCAGCAGATGTCTGAGGCCTGCCAGACAATCATTTTTTTATTAATCACTAATAGCTGATGAATTCAAAATGCCTTCAGCCAATGTTTTTCTTCAATCTAATGCATTTTTATTATTTTCAGTACTTTTAATGGCTGTGGGTCACCATCGATATTGTTATCGCCAAGGCCTATGATTCATGCATCCTCAACGTTTGATTCGTCACTACCGGAGAGCAGGCTATATGATTTTCGAACATCAAGCTAACGTGGAAATAGTTTACCTCAACCAGCATTAACTATCTGGAATAGTAAATGTATTTCACCAAAGCACGAAACTAACATAGTGGTTCTCATTGAATCGAAATACACTCACTACTCGTAAGAAGCCTAAATTGAAATGTATTCCCTTTAGCCGTGTATAACTCAGTATAATCTCAAACATAAGGAATAATAACAACTTATTGATGCAAACTGTCACTTTCCAAATGGTCTTACGATCGAGAAGTGCATCAGTTTCCGAAAGCTGGCCACTCATTAGTAGTTCCGTTGTTACTCCTAAAACAATAGGTCCCCAAGAGAAACCAAAACAAGAAAACAATCATCCCGCTGTTTGCTTTGGGTGACCACGTTTCACGGAATCGTATATTTAGTCGTGATTAACAGGGACTTTGCCCTGTACCATTTAGAGCCGAGGCTCCTCTTCGAAGGGGTCTCTTGGATTTATTACTTCACCCAGTTGTAAACCCAAAAATTCCGTGAACGGGATGAATGAACTCTACTCAGGCACTCTTCTCATTGAGACGCATCAGTTGTCTATCTGGAGAGCGTAGTCACTTGACGTCTTTGTGACACATTAACCCATTGACACCTTGCTCTGACTGCTCTGCCCAGCTGGTGAATTTTCCGGTCCCGTGGGCTTGCAACAACTAACTGTTGTCCTTAGGAACCTGACAGCTAGTGATTATTCAATCTCAATCTGATAAGGCTTCCGAATTTCAGAAAGCTCCCAATCTCGGACGTCTGGTGATGATCAATTCAGATGACCTCATATTGAACGAACAGTGCGGACCACTTGGTACAGGAGCATTTGGAGCAGTCTATCGAGGTGTGTGGCGTATCGCTGAAGTCGACCTTGGTACCAGGGATGAATTCACTTCCGATTCCACGATTGGCAATCGTCCCTGTTCCATGCAGTCTTCTTCCACTGTGTGCACCACAATGCCACCTACAAGTGATGAAGGTGACGAGGAGCATGGCTCCAGGGAAGGAGGTGGGGGGGAGACCCCGCCTTCAGGCTCATTCGGAATACAAGCCAAGAGACACAGCGCAAATTCTTCAACACGGTACAGAATGCTTCCAGTTGCTGTAAAGATACTGAATGACGGGCGAGGCTCCAGTGACTTACAGGCGCTCCTAGATGAAGCCAAGGTGATTCTTATCTATAACTACTAATTCATTTGCCATAGTAAACATTTTCTGCCACATGGCTTTCATCCTCTGTTCACTCTCTTCGCTTTTCTACTGAAGTGTTCAGTATTCGTTCTGAGACCTGTGGTTCGAAAGATATCAGTAGACGTGAACATGCGGTAGTAATTAGTTCTCTGTCCACACTGCCCATTCTCAGCAAACAATACCGAAATTTGGCGCTACTGCCATTAGTTTAACAACTTAAGAGGGTCTTCATTTGATGGAGTTTTACCGACCAAAATGGTCAGACTGAAATCCTATGGTTGTTCATTGGAGGAGTGAGCCCAACGCCAACGAATACAATATGTTTCCCTAGCTAGCTCAAAGACGGGTCCCTCTGCATGACCCTTTAAACGGGACACGTGAACAGACATCTCACCTGATCATAGTCACACCAATCCCGTTTGAGTGGTCGTCCTCCTGCTCTGGCGTATTCCTTCCAGTGAGTCAACACGAACGGGAAGCACTGGACTGGAGATTCGCACTTATTGGAGCTCGGCAACAGTGCATATCCAATGTCCGTGTCGGGATTTGAACTCCGGACATCTGACATGCGAGGCGAGCGTGTAACCACTACTCCACCAAAGCACGCTGGATGCGTCTGAATTTTCACGTCGGAACGTGTTCACACTTGAGCGATGTGATTGGTGTGCCCGACTCATCGAACGACCATCCGGTAACTGTCCTGGTCGTGACGATCGATTGACCCGCCAGTCAGGACTTTCCAGTCAGGTAGCGTGAAACACGCTTGAAAACCACTGGGCAAATTTTCGGTTTCAGTTTTGGGGTTTTGCGGGATAGGCATTTTGTCCATAGTCACATCACTTGCCCAAAAACATCAATGGATGGCACCTCCAAATTTGAGAACCTTCGAGTTAAAACATTTTAGTATTGCGAAGAACCTAGATATAGTTAACCGCAGGATACTACTATTCAGGAGCCTTAAAAGCCCAAAACAATCAGACCGATTCAGGTATTCTTCTCGCAATCAAGTATCCACAATTGCCTGAATTTCGATATATTGTGCAACTTAACACCTCGAAACTTAATACTGTAACTGATACAAATAAGACACGCAACAATTTACGAGAAAAATGTGCTTTCCAGAAGCATCTGGAAAAATTGATCAGGCCATCATTAAATGTTTGGAGTACGCCGGTTTTACTCTCTCTGAAATATGGACAGTAACAGGGATGGAATGTGTGCCGCGTGCTCTGTTTGCTATTGTCAGAACGAGTTCGGACAATCACTGATATGAATGTTCACTGAACTTATCATCACCGAATATGAGACAAACCCTCAAATTTGGAAGGTCCACGCACCGATGTTTTCGTCTTCTTCATTGTGGGCAAGACGTTAATTTTTCACCGGCCGAAACTGCAAACTATGGTTTCGCCATGTCTGTCTCGTACGCGATGAACCGATCGCCTACGGAATGTAAGGGGCTGGATTTATGACACCCATTAGGGTTAGGAAGGCGAAGGCTTGTGATGTAAAGTCTTAGTTGAATGCCGCATGCAACAAAGAGCTTGTACCTGTAATGCGTTGAACTGTAAGATCCTTTCTGCACCTAGTTGTTACTCCATCTGCAGAAAGAAGGGGTGAGGTACTTCTAGGCTGCCACAATCTGGGCAGGAGCAGTTGAGATCCTGAGGTCAGTAATAATGCATTAAATCATTGAATCATCTCGAGCAGATGAGTACATATCGTTTGACGAATGTCCGTGACGCTTTATTAACTGAAGTCTGTTTGGTGGCGCTAGACCACCAACATAATTAGAAGTGGGTCGTTTGGGGTAATATTGATGGTTGTTCATTTGTTGGGTAGTACTTTGTCAGGTTTTTTGGTTAAAGCCAGTGTACGCTCAAGCAATTCCCGTTTTTTGCTCACATGCGTTTTTTTCTTTTTCGAAATACTCCTGTTGTAAGCCATTTGCAGAATGGTGCGTGGGACTGAAGCTGTTTCAAAGCTAAACTGGATGTGGGATACCCCTCCACATACTTGCATCCCCACACCATTCACATAACTTCATATTCGGTTCCCAACCATTTACACAGGTAATGGCATCGGTATCGCACAAACATTGTCTACCTCTGATTGGAGTTTGTCTGTCCAAGTCACGCAAATGTTTAGTATCCGCCTACGTGATGAATGGCAGTTTGGAAAGATATCTACGAGTGCATGCACTGGACCTTCCGTCTGCATTACTGTTAGACTGGGCTGCACAAATCGCTGACGGGATGTGTTACCTTCAGTCCAGAGGAATCATTCACCGGTGAGTTGGAATAGAATGCCCAAACATTCAGCTAGTTTCGATAATACAATCAGAAAGCATATAGACTAGCAAATTTCCTAGACTCTAGGTTTTTATAACTGGACGAAATGCTTTTGCAATTCTTAGCTAGGTGGGCTAGATATTTAGGGTAAACACTGATTGATGGAAAATATTCACTGACGCACAAGATCGATCTCGCAGTACTGTTTCATCATCTAGCCATATGAAAAACCGGAGCATGTTCCCCCTGATCTGTTATGCAATTTCGTTTTGTAGGCGAGTGCAATACTGATGGTTTCAGGCTTGGAGGACAATCAGAGAACAGACAAACCAATACATATCAATCTTCGCTTTAAATACCGCTATTTTGAGTGTACTGCGTTATTACAGTTTTGTTCTTCTATAATGTAGAATAGCATTTCAATCTTTATGGATGATCATCCAGTGAATAAATAAATCCATCCTTACTCTTTTCATCCGAAGATGTGAAAAGCATGTTTATACACCAATACTCTAGCTGGTTCTGACTGGCTGTTTATAGGCGGTGCAAAAATGTTTACGAACAACGCATCCTAGACTTCGTGAGCTAAGGTCCATTCTGCGAATGCTCGGCAAATAAAACAACGATGAATGTGGATAAGAGAACACAGGGTGGTGAAGCTGAACTACCGCATATGTTTGACCGATATTTGTGCATACCCCAGGCACTTTGCCCCCCCTCCCTATATGCATCAATTTCCACTTCAAGGTCAACGGTCTACCCTAGCTATAACTCACCCGTTCGAAATAACAACCGCCTGGACCGAGGGGTACGCCCTAGTAATTGAAAACTCCATTTCGGCTAAACGGCACGAATGAACTCGCAGTCCTGAACGTGAGAGCCGAAATTTGTTCGGTCTTGTACTCTCAAATGATGAATTATAATGGAGTTAAATAGCCTCTTGTTAACGGGGCTTTCGTTGCCGGACCAACCCTTTCTTGAAAATCGTTGTGCACTTCATCTGATAAGGAGGCAAACTGAGCCTTCCGCAGTATTCTTGTGTGGGATCACAGACCATTTTTAACAACGGTTTCCCAACAAGTTCTCTTAGCCAACATCTTTCTGAAGAATACTACCAACTGAAAATAAATTTTCGTAGGCAATCTCAGTTGAAATTTGGTTGTACATGGATAACAACGCCGTGTACACAAGCCCAATATGTCACAAAAGTCTTCAATGAGGAAATCCATGCTTCCTCAACAGTTATTTCTCCATATCAAAATAAGTGCTGTCTAATGTCATTCTTCCATCTTGGTTTCATCTCTCAGTGACCTGGCAACCAGGAACGTCTTAGTCACTACTAGGGAACATCTGCAAATCACTGATTTCGGACTTGCAAAAATGCTCGAAGGAGAAGACGAGGAGAAACATGGTGAGGTTATCGTGCGATCTGGTCGTGTACCCATCCGCTGGTTGGCCATTGAAACACTGACGCATGGACGTTACTCATTCAAAACGGATGTCTGGGCTTATGGTAAGCTAGTAGCGCCCTATTTCCCCGCTTTTTTTCCGCACATTCTGAAATTACACGGCCCAAAAACTGTCACCTCGTCGTGATGGTTAGGCTTCTATGCTGCAATGATCCTGCGAACTTTACTGTCTGGAACTCAGTTTCCGAAGGTTCAAACATGCCAGGAAGGCCAACGGTGAGCAGCTCAACGAAGATCAGAGAGCCACCCTACTGAGAGCAATGATAACACGAGGCAGTCTGAAGGTGGTCATACTTTTCTCTGTGACAGGGCTATGAAGTCATTAGAGCGTTTCCCCAGGCGACCAGCATGTCCATATTTATTGAAGCAGTGATGCTGTCTCTCCCTGAGGAAGGACAGATTAGAAAATGATTGCCCGTAAAACTGCACACCCCTTCCAAAGTTTAACCGTGACCGCCGGTGTATTGTTTAAAATACGGTCGAAATAATTTTAAAACCAGAGTTCGGTGCTGAACAGAAGACACCTGCTGTGCGTAGGTGCATTAGAAGTGAGACAGTACTCTCTGCCTTATTGGGGCAGGCCGGCCAAGTGGGTCAGACTATTGAGTCTTTGGCTCCGGGGGGTCCCCCAAGAAAACCCTAACAATTGCTGTCTCGCAGTTCAAACTTCTAAGTCAGAGGCTAGGGGCAGGTTCCTCTGACAAAACCCTATATCATCCCATTGCCTTGCGGGCCAGACTTTTGAGTCCAATGCTCAAGTTGGGATATCGCAACTAAATCCCCTTCTTCGGCCTGGGCAACTGATAAGTAACATTTTCCTTTTCAGCTCTTCACTCACCGGCCTTCCCCCGTACCCCTTCTTACCCATCAAACAAGGCAGTGCCACAAAGCCATCTTTCCATTTCATAGCCACTATTTCCCCTTTAAGCCTTCGCTTAGATAAAATGAACCAAAATAGTAGCGTACTAACCTCAAAGATCTGATCCGAGTTGCAGATTTTAATGTCCGTACGCTGTGTCAAATGGACAACACTAAGTGCGGAAGAAACACAGTTAGGCGGTAGATTTAGAGTCGATGCTAGACGCATGGATAATGAGGAACGACCGCTTCAGTTGCAGATCATCGTCTGCTTGTAGCCAGTACGAACCTCTAACGCAAACACTAACACTGAATTACTCAGATGCCACCTACCACAAGGCAACCGTGGACACAAGTGGACCATGTGGCTATCAGTTACCGATGAAGAACCTCAGATAAGGACTGTCTTTCCTTCTGAGGTGAGCAACTCGACTTTGACCGTGACATCGTGCAGGCCTGGTTATCACTTTCCTACCGGAAACGCCCACCCTTTCGGATGATGAAGATTGCCTGGAGGTTGGATGGGATTGGGTTAAAGAAACTATACTCTCATCTTTCAGAACTGTTTGTCCTAGAGATCTGACACGACCAAATAAACACTGGGTATCGTCGACGTCAGCAGAACTTACTGCCACTAGAAACGCCATACCAACAACTAGCTCCTGCGAAGACCACGTAGACCCTTCAAACGGATAATCAGGGCCTTGAAGAATGACCTATTTCGAAGGCCCAGGAAATGAAAAAGTCTTCCGCCGGAGAAAACAGCTCCGCCCTATTTCAACTGATTCGATCACTCGGTCAAAATAAGGTGGTTTTCAGTGAAAACATATGTGAAAAAGACAGATCGGCAATTCCCTCCCTCACTCGCCATCTTGCGCGGCAAGCCTAGCACTTCCGAGAATAGTTCAGCTGATCTTTAACACAATCGTTGCGTAAACCCAGTGAGCTCAAATGGAACACTGACCACAACACGCCATCAGCAACCTAACTATAGCTGGAGATGTCAGTGCTGGAGCGCGTCAAATCCCCCAACATGGATCTTCTTCACCCCGCACTCTTCAAAGGTGGTGAGGTCCTGATGAAGAGTCTGACAACCAAAGTGCAGATTAGGAACAAAAACAAAATACCAGTCCAGCACCTCGATCGTCATCCCAGTGTGCAAAAAGAGCGAAAGATGTCATGTAAAAACCGGCATGGTATCATCCTCGTATCCGTCTTATCTAAGGTGCGCTCTGGTATTATTTTGCATTGGTAGGTTGGTTATCGAGAGGGACGGATCCGTGAGAATCAAGTTGGGTTTTGTCCTGGGTGAGGATGCATCAACCATATCTTTATCTTGTGACAAATTCTTGAGCTACGCAACTCATTCAGACGTTCCACTTTGGTCGTTTTTCTTGACTTGAAAGCTGCTTTTGATTCTGTCGATCGTCAGAAACTTTGGGGGTATCTGGCTATCATAGGTATGCCTTCCAAATTTATATCCCTTATGATGGCAATGTGCACGAACTCCTGTGGGCGCGTACGAGTATACGGTAAGCTTTCACCTGAGTTCACCACGTCCAGTGGTGTAAGCCAAAGCTGTCCTCCCCCACCTTTCTTTTCAATTTTGTCATTGATATGCTGCTTGAAATTTCTCTGCCTACCTCTGAAACCTTGGGAGTCGAAATACTCTCGGGGCTTTTCCTCACAGATATTGAGCATTGCAAACGATTTTAAATAACCTAAATAGCTCTGCCGCACGGTTTGGCATACGCTTCACACCTGCAAAGCGTAGTGTTGATACCACTCACCTCTCAGAGTTCTTTTCGCCCAGCCCCGTGTTGAGTGGAAGCCACCAAGAGGTGAAAAGTGTATGACCTGGCAACGAGTCATGAAAGCACCAGCCATTAAACACCCAATCGAGCAGTTAATGATGCTCATGTATCAAAAGTATCAACTTCAACTTGTAGCTACCCGATTCCCTCCAAGGATTGGTCGTATCTTCCGCGCAATCCCACTTTCTGGTGATCAAAACTGTAGTGACTGGAGCCAATGTGCCTATGGTACAAACTGATTGACAAATTGATCGATTGATATTACTCAAATACACCAAAATTCTTTCGCCCGCTGGCTTGACGTGTCTTTCTTATCTCAACGCCACGCATAACGTCATCAGAAACTCCCTACAGCTCATCAGCGTTTTTGCTTTTCACGCGGCTCATCAAATAGGCTTAAATCTAATGTGAGCACCTATTTGTAGACATGTAATGATAAACACAATTATACAGTTAAGGCGACTCAGCTCGATTGAACCAGAATCCTTCCAGTTTGCCACACAAAGTGAAACACACACAAAGTTCATATTGAAGCACTTTTTATTAGTGCATGATCATGATAGCCATAATATAAATCAGAAGGCGTGTGCGCTAATAACAGTTTTTTTCTTCGGTATATAGTAGTTTACAGTTTTGCTGGTTGTACCATGATAAAATAAATGGGTTACGAACAATGGAATAAGACAAAAGGTGACTTATCGTTTGTGGATAACTTGTGAGATTTCCTAGGTAAAAGTCCGGATAGCGGGAACATGTCTTCGCCACAGTATGGCTGCTACACGTGTTCCGTACTTGTCTCTGGACTTGAAGATTTTAGTTGAATCCCTGCCCCTGCGCGCGCGAGTGTGTGATGACTGTGTTGGGTCTTCCCATGTATACGAAATTTTGACGTGTGTACAGTACATAACATTGTTCCGAAGCGTATATGATGTGAACTGACTTGGTGGTCTAGGTTTCTAGGACGTGGTTTTGACACGTTATTTGTGCGCTTGTGACACAAAGCAGTCTCGTGATATAATGAGCGCGGATGTATTAAACAAATTAAGTTGGTTGAATTAGTTGAATCCCTGCCCCTGCGCGCGCGAGTGTGTGATGACTGTGTTGGGTCTTCCCATGTATACGAAATTTTGACGTGTGTACAGTACATAACATTGTTCCGAAGCGTATATGATGTGAACTGACTTGGTGGTCTAGGTTTCTAGGACGTGGTTTTGACACGTTATTTGTGCGCTTGTGACACAAAGCAGTCTCGTGATATAATGAGCGCGGATGTATTAAACAAATTAAGCGAAGTTGGTTGAAGGAACAAGTGACTGCTAAAGTTTCACTACTACCCGTAAAATGGAATAAACCTCTGGGCAGCTCTGGACTTCAACAACTCCGGACTCTGCTTAGCACAGTCATCTGAGGAAAATTACATATAACTGATTCAGGTGCATTTCAACTCTTATTAACGCCAACTCAGTTTACGAATAAATGTTTGTCTCGTTTGTCAAAATCTTCATTTAGTATCTTTTTATTTATTAACTGTGAAGCAAAATCGTAAGTCACAGTTGTCTACCTTAGGGTTGTCCGCCCTTACCAAGGCTGACCCATCGAAACGAAGAAATTAAATCTAAAAAAGAGGTCAACTTCAGGAAAACGCGTCTGAGCAATCCTCAAGGTTACCCCTCCATGCAGCAGAGGCTGTTTACACCTCACTGTGTCACCGTGTGCTACCAAACTGATTCCTAGTTTTTCTTCCATACTTATTGCCCCGGGTGTCTCTTCAGGTGTAACTCTGTGGGAGATATTCACTTTCGGGGAAAAACCATACGAGCGGATAGAAACGGCGAACGTGAAAGCGCATATTTTATCTGGAGGTCGTCTACCGCAGCCAGAAATTTGCACACTCGAGCTGTATCAAGTCATGCTACGTTGTAAGTTAACCATTTCACCTTGAGCCCAAATTGTTCTTGATCTCGTTAGCCGCATCGCCTACTGTTTGCAATCACATGTCGTTCCAGCAGACACCGAAAGACTTCACTGCTCAATGAATAACTACTAAGTTTGAAATGAAACTTTCTTGTGATATCTAGGGGATATCTAAGCTTATTTATATTACGAGATGTAGTCTGCCTCCGAAGAGTTGTGCTCTAAAGAAGATACCACCGCGGCTGTCCATGTTAACAGGTGTGTTTATGGATGTGTCGCTGCGTAGTTGCAAAACGCGCGTGTGCTCCGTTCATCATCGACAAACAGATGAAAATTTTGGAAACGTTCCTCTAAAGATTTTGGCATGTCTGGTTGTTTAGGAAGGCTTTTCAAATCAGAAGTCAACATGGCTTCCACTATTACAAGCATGCTGTCCTACCTTTATCAGCAGCGCTGTCTACTTAGTCCATGATGTGTTGGCATACAAGCAGTGTAGTAGCCACTGTGCACCTGTACGCCTCCACGTTGAATGGCTCATTGCGTCATTATGGTGGGGTGAGGAACTTAATCACCTTAGATAAAAATGAAGCACTCAGTGAACTACTTTGTTCTATATTGCAGTTATCTTATCAGAGATAATATGAGTTTTTATTAACTTATATTCTGGATTCAGGTCCAGACAACTCCGGTTACCCGTGTTCTTATACTAATTTATTCAGTTGTATAACTTATAACTTTTGGTGATGGGCTACCGATCGACAGACCTTGACCGTTTTCAATGGGCTACAACTAACAAACTGACCAAATATATGCAACAGAAAATTTTTTAGCTAAGTCTGATCAATCTGCTCACTCTGCAGGACGTACGCGAAATATGACATCAAATCATCACCTAAATGGTTTAATCCAACTGTATATTCACTTGAATAATGAAACTTGAAACTTGGGTAATGAACTCCTCAATATTCACACTCAAAGCTCCATAGATGGCACTACTCAAAACAAGACTCCTTCCTGACTAATGGAAAGTTGAAGTGTATAAACGGCTGAAAAGCGAACTGGTCATGCAGCGCAACTAACTAAGGGATCGCTCTTGAGAGTTAAACTTTGTCACGTACATTAACACTATCCGCTCCTCTAGCGTTTTAAACTTCTTAGTAGATAATTCTTCTTCTCCATTCTCTGTTTTCAACTCCTAATAGGCTGGAATGAAGATCCACAGTTACGACCAAATTTCCAAGAATTATTGAACCTGTTCACAGGTTGCACAAAACGCCCTCATCTATATCTGCATCCCAGAGTACGTTGGACTAATGTTCTGCTCACTTCTATTTTCGGTCCACACATACAGTCTCTGAATCTTCTGGTGTTTTAGATAGAGGTGTTATACTTAAGTTTCCAGAGAGAAGTTTTTGAGTCCATTTAGTGAGTAAATGAAGTTGCCACCTTTTTAAATTTAGTATCAAGTGGACGTAGTCTGTCCTCCCTTCCATATTTGCTTGGGTTATGCAATTGCCAAGGAATGTTGAGCATTGATGATACAGCTACCAGGTCAAGTATGTCACTTCTGTTTGATATAACCAATATGGCAAAATCATTCTGCTTATCTTTTGCTTACTCCTTTTTTGAGTGGAAATATATCAGCATAGCTTTGAATTGGGGAACCCTATCAAGTCTCCAGTCCGAACAATTTAAACATACATATGAGCTCAGAAGTGTCAATCCTGACTTACCTTCCTCTCATTTGTCCATTGGTCAACGACAACCAAATGACCCAACCAAATTTAGGGACAAGTATAAGCATATTTGATTATGTAGCTTCCCGTAGAGCATATTCGTTCATGGTCAAACCGAGCGCTTCGTCAATGAAGTATATAGTGATGACGCCCTTAATTGTGGAATGAATTTGACCTCAGCTTTCAGCAGTCGTTCCGTATAAGGAGTATCATTGATAATACGGCAACACGTCTCCGGTGCTAAATCGTACTACTTTGGCGTTGTCCTTCTTCATGTCCTTAACCCACTGTAAATATTATGGCTTATCATATAACTGGCCTGCCTGCTTTCTTGTACGTATAGTTTCTGACGTATTGTAATAAAGCAGGTTCACTTAAGAATACTGTGCTCGAAAAACCACAGATGCGTTTGCGTTTGATCAAGTTGAAAATCTGTTCTTTTTATTGTTGATTTACTCACACTATTTCTTACAGACACCTAGAAGCATAATACTGGAAGATCCCTACAGCAGCGTGGGTGGTGACACGCGAAGCCGCCTCACCATTTATCCAAGTTCCATGATATTCAGTGAACGACCAGATCCTGCCAGTACATCACACATGCCTTCTTTGCGAAAAGATTCTGCCTCCCCATCCGGAATGTACAGGTCCGGAAGCATAAACACGAACCCAGCACTTGGTTCTTCATCCACCGGTCAACAATTTGATGGACGTCGCCGAATACGTAGCAGCTTACTGATACAACCAACCAGTCTACTGTATCCCGGACGCTTTCTGAAGTATCAACAACAGAAACGGAGCAGTGTAGGAGGAAGGGCCGATAATACCACGCTATCAACATCACTCAGCATGGCCTCCTCCGGAATGAGTGACCGATGGAGTCATTCAACTTTCCCGCACCACAGTCAACCAGCACTACTGGGTGTGAAAGAAAACACTATGCCCCCAACACGAGGGCTCCCACCTGCCATGTTTCCACGCGATACCACCCATCGACAAAGAGCAGAAATTCGAGCTACCTTAAACAGTGACTCATGGGCAAGCAGTGGGCAACCTTTATTATCCAGTGACCAAGACAGTTCCCTCAGTCAACTTATTCTATCAAATTTGGGTTACACAAGTAGCGACAGTCACAGTAGTATGGTTATTAACATACCTGCAACGAATACGAATACCGTGCCCACGTCGGCAGTTACCATTCCATCAGACGTCGCTAACCAACAGATCACTGACGCATCTGAAGACGTGACACCTTCCACCTCATCACCTAGAAGTGACAACGAGACAATCGATCCGACGATAGCCAGCCTTAATGGGCTCAACAGCAGTATGCCAGCTGATTTCGGATTAGAGGCCGCGGCCGGTTATGTTTGGCCACAGTGGCCAAGCGTGTTTTCGGAGTTGAACCAAACCGTACCTGGTGATGGTTCAGGAACATCTAATCTCCCAGACTCTATAAACGAGGACAGTTTGGCTTCTCTAAATCGACAACTGTGGTTGCGGAGGAGTGCCAAACAGCGACAGTTTTACCGAAGGCAATCACAACTTCACCGCCATGCAACTCTAGGTATGCCATTACCGGAACAGACTATCGAAGAAGCAATGGAAGAATCAGCTAGTTGGCGACATCCAGGGCGAGATGGGGGTATTTTTCCTTCCAACCAGATTGACGAGGAAGGAAGTTCCGCCGAACGGTACTGTCCTGATCCGACAGGAGACAACTGAGCGTTTCCTTTGGCATTCATTCCATAGTGTAGCAGTACCAAATCTATATCAGGCTCCGCTTCCATTATAAATGTCTTCCTAACTCCTAATTCAAACCTTTGACGCATGTTATTTGAGAGAATTTTGGATCACCTTGTCTGCTAATCTCGCAGACCATGTAAAAATTCATACTTTTATAATGCTAGCATTGGTTTATGTTTCGTTATTTGCAATATATGCTTGCTTATTGCTAATACTCTTTATTTACCGAAAAAACCCGTGTTCCCCCATGCCACAGTCACAGACGATGGAAAGGTAGTGAGGGTGGGATAAAAGAACTCTTCTGGATGTAATGCGTATCGTATTGGTTTGAATCCGCATTTGTGAGCTATTTTACGCACAAAATTTAAAAGCCATACACACGAATGACAACAAGGTATTCACGTGACGTTTTCACGTGTGAACATTAAGACAACTGCAGCTGTGGGCCATGGCTGCGATTGACCAGACGTACACGGTGGTGGTCCTGTGCTGTTGGTAAGGTAGGGAGAGCCTTAACCACACAAATACCGATTACTTTTTAAGGAGCTATCAGGATCGCACGGAAAAAAAGAAAAACGAAGCGCAAAAAATATCACACATGAAGACAAAACCTAGTCATCCTTCCGGTTGGGTGGAGAAAAATTAGATTCATTTTGAGCGCGCACCTTGTTCGCTACATCGTTGCAGGTTTGTTCCGAAGCCCATTATTGCAGGACCCTAAAGAATTGAGATGTAAAGAAACGATCATGACTTCAGCAACACGTAACATTAGACAAAACCACCGCAATCTAGTAGCCACTTAGAGCGCCCTTTAAACGCAAGAAAGTAACGGATGACTAATTTCACTTCATTCCTAAAAGACGGGCTGAGTGGAAAAATCATAATTCGACCCTTCAACGACTTGGTCTCTTCCAGGAGGGCTTCAACCATCGTAAGAATCCTCAGTCTATCTGTGGTTTATCCTGCAGAATTTTTTCTGAGGGTTGGCCGTTCTGTAAAGGAATGAAGCTCATAAGTTCTCTGGTTCAGAAACTGTCTAAATTAGTACCCTCCGTGAAAGCACGGCCTTCTTCAGCTATCAGATCCATCGTTGGAGATGAACTGTCATGTGGATAACCCGTGTCGACGGCGCCAAGATAGTTTTAAACTGTTCAACTTTAAACGTCCTGATCGCTGTAGCAGGTGACCCTTTTTGAAACCGACAAGTCGGGTGTACGTAGCCACGCACAGGTGATGTGGATGATATGATAATATCATTCTTCGTTGTGTTAAACGCCAAGGGATTTTCAACCTACAATCTGCGTTACAAACAGACTTCCGATCTTGAAGGTAGACAAGATGAAACTGAGCTATATTTTGAACTTGTATAGCAAACCCCACACAAAAACGGATACAGAAAAGACCGTGACATATATATATATATATATATATATATATATATATATATCAGTATCGTTTCTTCACATACCTCACTAATTATAGGGTTGCCAGCTG